GCTCCTGGGCCGGGGCCCCTGACCCCTGAGCCGACAGAGGGGCAGCAGCCCCCACTGTTCCCCTGAACATGAGTCCTTGAGACGGTTTGAGTAACCGGGAGTGGCCCTGGTGATTTTGTAAAAATGGCAGCACTGTTAATTGGGACGCAAAGTCGGAAATCATGAGTCATGAAGATGTCACACCTGCCCCTCAGTCTGACATGCTCAGCTGAGTCAAAGGTGACACCTGTAAAGGAGAGCAGAGGGACACACACAGGAAGCGGCCAGTAGGTGTTTCTGTCTCTCCCCCTCTCCCGTCCTCTCTCTCGAAAAATTAGTAAAGGAAAAAAAAAGTAAAATAAGCGAAACAGGGCGAAAGGTTAAGTCCCCACGGGGCAGTGCCGGAGACAGGCCTTAGTGACGACTGAAAATTAGTGTCCAGAAAGGCCAGCTGGCCCTGGCCAGTTTGGCTCAGCAGTTAGAGCGTCGATCTGCGGACCAGAGTCTCGGATTCGATTCCGGTCAAGGGCACGTACCTTGGTTGCGGTTTGGTCCCTGGCCCTGGTCGGGGTTGTGCAGATGTGTCTCTCTCATGGGGATGCTTCTCTGTCTCTCTCCCCCTCCCACTCTATCTGAAGATAAATGGGAAAATATCCATGGGCGAGGATTTTTAAAAAAATATTTTTTCTTTATTGATTTTAGAGAGAGAGGAAGGGAGAGGGACAGATAGAAACACTGATGAAAGAGAACATCTACTGGCCGCCTCCTGCATGCTCCCACTGGGGATCAGGCCCACAACCTGGGCATGTGCCATGACGGGGAATTGAACCAGCGACCTCTTGGTGCATGGGTTGGTGCTCAACCACTGAGCCACACCAGCCGGGCGTCGGGTGAAGATTAAAATAAAAAAAGAAAGGCCAGTCGGCTGGTGGGGAGCCTCACAGAGGGACAGGGCTCACCGTGGTCCAGATGGCCAGCAGGGAGCAGAGGACAAGTCAGGGCTCGGCACAGATCTGTCAAGGGCCGGCTGGTAAACAGCGCCCTCTTGGAAACATCAGTAAAAGTGCTGCCTCTTGCCAGGCCAGTACCCCAGCCTCGCTCCAAGTCACCACAAAAGCCCCATGGCAACTCCCACTATCAAAGAAAATGCATTCTGTGGACTCAGTGTCCCTGCCCCTACGCCAAGAGAACTAGAAGTTGTGCAGTCACCCAAGAATCTTACGCCGGCTGTATTTGCCGGTTTATCTGTACACAGGAGTTGCTATTAGTATGCAGGCTTTGGAACGATTACACATCTGCTCCACAACTACAGACTGATGATGTTCTTTGGCTCTGGAGAGAAATCCCACCAAATCCAGGACGTTTCCACTGAGCTGATGGGGCTGGCCTCTGCCCAGGGAACCGCCCGCTCTGGGGCCTCTGTACCCTGCTTCTGGAGGAAGTGGGGGTGCTGGAAGAATGGGGTCACCTCAAGTGGATGGTTCCCTGGCAGCGGGACGTGCTCCTAAGGTGACCCTTCTGAGGCAGGTGGATCGCGCGGAGGTACTGTCTCTTCCCAACCTGCCGGCTGGAGGCACAGGACTGGGAGAGCCCGGGGGACACTCAGCCGCAAGACCACAGGGACCAAAGCTGCCGCCCACTGGGAAAATCCCTGGGCTGAGCCTCCGGAACGCTGCGGTCCGTCCCGTCCAGCAGCCGTGGGTAGCAAGTCCCAGTCCAGGTGGCTCCCAAGCCACTTCCACTCCTCATGTGTGGACCCTTCGCTCACGAGGGCCGTTTGGGGCTGTGTCACCAGCACAACACATGGGACGGGGACAAGGGGTGGCAGCAGGACTTCCCGCCCCGTCCCCTCAGGCTTGGCCAGACCTGTGCCAGGGAACACAGTGAGGTTTCCATTCCCCAGAGGTGACTGCTGCCGGGCGCTCAGCTCCTTGAAGCGGACACGTGGCAGAGAGAGCTCGGTCGTGGAGACGCTGCCCGTGAGGCACGCAGGTTTCTGCTGTTACCAGGACACGGCGGGCCTTCTGGTAGTGAGCCCGGGAACGACCACTGGACTGGCCACTGCTGCCTGCCAGGGCGTGGTCCCCAGGGCCGGGGCCTGCAGACAGCACGGCGGGCAGCAGGGGGACAGCAGCGGCCCTGTGGAGAGGGCCCTGCCATGGGGCGGAAATGGAGACTGGGGATCTTCCGGACCACCCAGTGAGAGGCCCAGGGCTTGCCCTGCCTCCCTCCTGGTCTCATTTCTCAGAAACTGTGACAGCCACCTTGCCAAGCGTTGACAGGATGGAACTCCCCACACCCTGGTTTCCCGGCTCGGCCGCCTCTCCCACCTGCACCCCGCCTGCTCCTCAGCCGCTGAGGTCCTCTAAGTGGTGCCTGGGCCTGCACGGGCCTGCACGGGCCTGCACGGTCCTCCACTGCACCACGCACACAGGGCCTCGGCCGCTGAGGTCCTCTCAGTGATGCCTGGGCCTGCACGGTCCCCCACTGCACCACACACGCAGGGCCTCAGCCGCTGAGGTCCTCTCAGTGATGCCTGGGCCTGCACGGGCCTGCACGGTCCCCCACTGCACCACGCACGCAGGGCCTCAGCCGCTGAGGTCCTCTCAGTGATGCCTGGGCCTGCACGGTCCTGCACGGTCCCCCACTGCACCACGCACACAGGGCCTCAGCCGCTGAGGTCCTCTCAGTGATGCCTGGGCCTGCACGGTCCTGCACGGTCCCCCACTGCACCACGCACGCAGGGCCTGCACTCGTCTGCTCAGAGCTGGCTACCAGCTGAGGTTTCGGGCCGCTTGCCTCCATCCGTCTTGCAAAGCCTTCCAGACCCCTTCAGGTGAGGAGGCAATCTGGTAGAGTTTACCAACCTTTTATTTAAAGAGTTTTTCCCCTTTATTGATTTTAGAGAGAGGAAGTGAGAGGGAGAGGGAGATAGAAACATTGATAAGAGAGAACATCGACTGGCCGCCTCCTGCATGCCCCCCACTGGGGACCTGGCCCACAACCTCGGCACGTGCCCTGACCGGGAATCATACCAGCGACCTCTTGGTGCCTGGGTCGACGCTCAACCACTAGCCACACCAGCCAGAAGAGTATACCAACCTTCTACATAAGCACCACGGACGCTCCGATCCAGAATTATACCAGAAATCGACCCCGCAGTTCACTCCCGTGTGATGCCAAAGCCACAGGAACAGATGAGGTGGGGACTACAGCACCTCCCGACGGGGATGGAGCTGGTGCTGTGAGGCCACTTGGGAGGCAGTGGTCCAGCACGTGGACACATGCACACGATGGGGCCCTGCCATCGACGTCGACCAGCTCTGAAGGACGCCGAGAGCCAGCTGATGGGGACATGGGCAGTGTCTTCCCAGCTGATCATTCACCTTTTGTTTTAAATCTTCACCTGAGGATCTTCAGTTAGAGTGGGAAGGAGGGAGGGAGAGAAACATTGATTCAAGAGAGACACATCTACTGATTGCCCCCGCATGACCCCGACCAGGGCCAGGGACCGAACTGCCACTGAGGTACATGCCCTTGACTGGAATCAAACCTGTGACTCTTTGGTCCGTGTGCAGATCCTCTTAACCTCTGAGCCAAACTGGTCAGGGCTTTTTTTCTTTAATGTTTATTGATTTGTTAGAGGTAGGGAGAGGTAGAAACAGCAATGTGAGAGAGAAACATTGATTGGCTGCCTCCTGCATGCCCTGACTGGGGATCGAACCCGCAACCCCGGCATGTGCCGACTGGGAATTGAACGGGGACCTCTAGGTCCATGGGACGCTCAGCCCAGAGCCACACCAGCCACCCGGTCATCCCCTTCAGCCCAGTGGCAATTTTCCTGAAGAGCAGACACTAGGAAGCACTAAGCTCACGCCCCTGCCTCTCCAAGTGGAGGTCTCCTCAGCCAACGTAAACGAGTCCAAGGCTGATGTAAGCTTCCCACGTAGACTGGAGACTCTCTAAGGACTTGCCAGGCCCAAGGCCACCTGCAGACCACACCCAGGTGCAGACACACGGCTTCAGGCCTACCACATCCCAGATGTAGGCCTGCAACCTACAGACCTTCCCGCCTGCAGAAGCCAGAGCTGACCCGCCCATGCACGTCCACACACAGCTGGGGCCAGGGGCAGGCTCGCCCTTCCCGGGGACTGAAGAGCATCTCCAAACAAACAGCACAGAGGATGCCCCGGCGTCCCAGTGACTGACACAGTGGTAAACTGGCTCAGCAGCAAGTCAGAGGGACAGAGTGGGCGTCTGCTGACAGTTATGTTTCAAACAGGAACCAAGGACACAAACCTGAGAGGCAAAACTACTTTCTCCCAGGGGTGTGGGTATCCGAGCCCAGTGAAATAGAAGGAAACGCAGGGCGGGGGGCGGGGGAGACGGACTGCACTGACTGAGGAGCTAACAGCTGGCCAGCTCGGGGCTGGGACAAGGGCACAGGGACAGTTTCAGGGCATGGCGCCGTCATTCCGTCAGCCACGGGTGTGAAGGCTGAGAGCTCGCACATCGTGCAATGGGTGCAGAAATCGACCTTTGCCTAGAGGGTCCAACTGCAAGTACAGACAGCCCCCAACTTAGGATGGTTCTTTGACTTATGATTTTCCAACTTAATGATGATGCAAAAGTGATGAAAATTCAGCAGAAACTACTTTGGACTTTGACTGCTGGAGTATATGCAGTGTGATCCTCTTGTGATGCTGGGCAGCGGGTGAGCTCCAGCTCCCCACCAGCCATGTGATCACGGGGGTCAAAAACAGCCGGCACCCTAGTGTCTGTCCTCGCCACCAGACATCTGCCCAACTCCGCGCCCCGTGAGGTGCCGAGCACGGCTACTGCGGCTGGGCTGGGCTCCAACGCTCGCTGTTAGGCGGGCATAACACACGCATTTTCCATAGTTTCCTCTTAGAATGGGTTTATCAGGATGTGCCCACTGTCAGCCGAGGAGCCCCTGTAACCCTGTTAACACCACTAAGAAATGAGACACAAGGAACACGGAGTCTTCAGTAAAAGCATGTATTATCCATTTACTGCAAACTGGTTAAAAATTAAGGCACTCCAAAGTTTATGGTTTCTTGAGGTTATGCTTTCAGGCTGCTTTTAGTACTATTTCAGAGAAAAGCACGTGGACTGCTGCCCCGGCGAGGCTGTCCTGGGAAAGAGCATTTCATAATCCCCAGCTCTACCTTCAGCTCAGCACCCTACACTTAGTGATTTTATACACGCTAACTATTTGTTAATACAAAGTTCATTAAAGTCGATTACAAATGGTCTCCTATGAATAAACAGCAGAGAGTAAAAAATCAAGGTGCTTTAAAATACTAAGGAATGTTTTGCAATACTTGAAATTGCTGTCAAATGCCCAAGTGAGAGAAGTAAGACGGAAGGCGTTGTCACAGGTCAGTGTCCCAGCTCTGCAGGAACGTGCACTCCGCACAGGTCTCCCGGGGGGAAGCCTCATGCGGCCCGGCCCCCCTGATCTGCAGGGAACGTCACCTGACGGTCGGAGAGCAGCAGGAGTGTGCACACGGAACGCATGGCTCCTTTCCGCGCCTGTTGCCCACTTTCCCGAAGCTAAATGTTCCCTAACTCAAAGCGATCTGGCTGCAGGGAACATGCTCCGATTTAAGGAGGGCTGCTCCCACTGTTTCACTGTGTGCTGCTGTCCTGACATGTGCTCAACTATTGCTAAAACCATGTCTCTTGATCTGAAAGAAACGGAACCACCATGAACGGCGCCACAGGGCACCTGGAGGCCACCAGTGACTATGAGAAGCTGCCTCTAAAGGAAAAGCTTCAGGACAGCCTGAGCCCAAGGAGCGCAGCTCAGAGCCGGGGCACCTGACAAGGACAGTTACCAGTGTCTGTGTGGTGTGTGGATTCCCTCAGCTGGCCCTGGACACCCCCACTTCCCAGGCACAGAGCCCTGCAGAGGGCTGCCCAGGGCATGGTGCCTCCCTCCTCGGGGCTGGCACACCGCCCAATGGCAGGGAGTCTTGGAGACCCAGGAGAGCACCTCACAGGACCTGTGACCGCACGCAGGACTGGCACCTGCTGTCACGGCGCTAAGAACAACGAGCAGGGCAGGCAACAGCACTCCTGAGCTCCTTGCTGGGGTTGGCAGCACCCATCGACTGCCGCAGGGAGGTTGCTTCGAACCTCCACTTATAATTCAGCTTTTCACTGGATAACAGTCGTCATGTTCTAGTGAAGATGCAAATTTTAAAATCATATGATAAGTGGTCTGAACATTGACAGTAAAGTTTTATGGTGAAATCTTTTAGATGGGGAAATAAAATCCAGAATTAAAAAGAAAAAAATTTAAAGGAGTCTCCCCCAGTGCTCTTCACTGTAACCAGTCAGGAAGGAGGGCCACTGACGCAGCAGTCTGGACGCAAAAGCCACCAGAACTGACATTTGGGAGACCTGAGGCCCGCCCCTGCGGCTCGGAAACGCGGGGACAGGCCGATCCTTGCACGCGGGACGGCTCCCCCGGTGCGGAGTGAAGCTGGTCAGTGGGCGGACGGGAAGAGCCCCGGCAGCAGGAGTGTTAGTGTTGCGGACGGCAGTTTGCAACCAGCGTGCAAACCGAGAAGTGGAACGTGCACCCCTCCTCAAACTGACGCAGACAGAGCGAGCTTCCCGCACCCCACAGGCTTACTATCTCGAGCGACTAAATACAGAAACAGAAAAGGGCACAGACGCTCACAGGACAAGGACAGGCTGCCTTCGGGCAGCTGCAGCACGTTCACGTCGCCAGGGTCAGAGCAGGACGGGGTGCTGTGGACCAGACTCGGCAGGAGTGCTTTAGTTGTTCTCGAATCTAGCGTACGGGTTTTCTTCTTTAAACAGACCTGCAAACAAAATGGACTTGCTTACAAATGCACTGGCCAACAAGAAACAATACAATGAAGTTGTAGACAAAGATTTACTGAGGCCAACAGGAAAGTTCAAAGACTACGCTAACAAAATACTACAATAAAATGTACCCAGAACAGTAATTTTAAGAAACAAAGATTCCCCAGAAATACTAATTTGTTGATTCCCTCAAAGAGAAATTAAGAAATGTAAAGCCAGGAAGAAAAAGAAAGAAAAAAATTTAAAGCCAGTATTTCCTCCCACAGTGGTTGACTTAAATTATACAAAACAAAACAAAAAAGCACTTTACTTTAAATGACCTTATAAATGTTAACTTTTAAAATTAAGGCTATAAAAAGAACTAATAAGGCCAGCATCAATATAACTGTCAAGCACTATGACATAACTATACATTAAAAATGTCATGCCCTGGCCGGTTTGGCTCAGCGGTTAGAGCGTCGGCCTGCGGTCCAGAGAGACCCGGGTTTGGTTTCCGCTAAGGGCGCGTACCTCGGTTGCAGTTTGTCCCCGGCCCTGGTCGGTTGTGTGGGTGGCGACCACTCGATGTGTTCCTTTCACGTCGATGTTTCTCCCTCTCTCTGTTCCTCTCTCTCCCTCCCACTCTACCTGAACAAAATATGGAAAAATGTCCTCCGGTGAGGATGATTAAAAGGAAAAAAAAAAAATGTCATAAAAAATCAATTATTTAATCACAAAAATCACTCTAGTGCTAAATGCGCAGACCAGGAGAGTTTCCGTCTGCACGGCGGCCGCGCTCCCTCGGGACCCTGTGTTATATGCCAGTTATCGGCGCCGCTGCAGCACGCTCGCTGCAGGGTCTTTTTTTTAGTTTGAAATCCTCACCTGAGGATATTTTTTTCTATCTGTCTTCAGATAGAGTGGGAAGGAGGAAAGGAGGGAGGGAGGGAGACAGAGAAACATCGATGTGATAAGAGACACATGGACTGGTTGCCTCCCGCATGACGCCAACCAGGGCCGGGAATGAACTGCAACCGAGGTACATGCCCTTGATTGGAATCGAACCCGCAACTCTTTGGTCCGCAGGCCGATGCTCTAACTGCTGAGCCAAACCAGCCAGGGCTCACTGTAGGGTCTTTCTAGGGTGGGGTGGGAAAGAGACAAGAAGGGGGGGAGAGGCAGGAAATGCAACAAGGGTGCTCATGTCAGGAGGATGGGAGCCTCCGGTCTTGGGGAGCACGGCACAGATCCATAAGGAACTATCATATGTCCGGCGGCAAGCACAGGCAGTCTAAGGACATGCTGAGAAAGGAAACAGCCCCAGCTCTACTTCTGTTCCCAGGGAGACTGTTCTGTGACACACACTCCAATGCGTCTCGGGCCAAGACCAGCATTCCGCACGCACTGGTGCTCTGTGTGACGGACGCCCAGACTGAGCGCACTCACGTGCCACTTCCCGCACAACTGGGAACCCCTGGGACGGACTCCAAAGTCCAGGACATTCGCTGGGCTCCATACAAACTGGTACACGAGTTAATTTCATCAGTACAGTAAAAGGCCAAACGAACCCCAACAAGGACAGAAACAGTGCATCAGGGCACGTTCCCGGAACCAGCACCTCCACTGGGAGCCCCCGAGCCCTGGCCCCAGGCCTCAGGCCCACCAGACCGTGCCGCACCAAGAGCAGGCACCACCAAGGGCAAGGTCCACACGCTGCTGCACTCAGCACACCTCAGGCCCACCAGACCGTGCCACACCAAGAGCAGGCACCACAAAGGGCAAGGTTCACATGCTGCTGCACTTAGCACACACCTCAGGCCCACCAGACCGTGCCACACCAAGAGCAGGCACCACAAAGGGCAAGGTTCACACGCTGCTGCACTTAGCACACACCTCAGGCCCACCAGACCGTGCCACACCAAGAGCAGGCACCACAAAGGGCAAGGTCCACACGCTGCTGCACTTAGCACACCTCAGGCCCACCAGACCGTGCCACACCAAGAGCAGGCACCACAAAGGGCAAGGTTAACATGCTGTTGCACTCAGCACACCTCAGGCCCACCAGACCGTGCCACACCAAGAGCAGGCACCACAAAGGGCAAGGTTAACATGCTGTTGCACTCAGCACACCTCAGGCCCACCAGACCGTGCCACACCAAGAGCAGGCACCACAAAGGGCAAGGTTCACACGCTGTTGCACTTAGCACACTTCAGGCCCACCAGACCGTGCCACACCAAGAGCAGGCACCACAAAGGGCAAGGTCCACACGCTGCTGCACTCAGCACATACCTTGTCTTTTAGTTACGTTAATGCTAACCAGGCGTCCACAGCTCCTTTCGAGGCTCCTCACTTTCGTGGAAAACCAAGCTGTCCCTGGCCACGGGGGCATACACTGCTGCTTGGTGGGCACGGGGAAGCCCCAGCAATCAGGCAGAGGCACCAGGGGAGAGTGAGCAACATGCTGAGGCCACAAGACAAGGGAACTGCACCCACAAAGGAGCCCATTACCACCTGCGCCGAGACAAGGTCCTAAACCAGGGCTTGTGCTGTGGGCAGGAAGAGCGTGGCAGCCAGGTGGCAGGGAGTGGGGCTCGGGACTCTGAAGGCCCACGCAGCAGCACCCAGAGGCCAAGGGGGGCTACATAAGAAAGGCCCTACCGGCTGTCGGATGGCGCGTCTTAAACAGACACGACCCAGTGGCAAGAGGAGGAGCAGCCTTATGCCCAGAACCAACACATGGAGGCCACCAGGGTCAACCCCAGCCTGAGGCTGAGCGGGTACACAGCCTGTCCTTCGGGAGCCTGCAGAGGCAGTGAGGTGTCCAGCCAGCGGGCCAGCTGAACCAGCGTGCACAGCCGGGACAAGCAGCCTGCCGGGGAACTGAGCCTTCAGTTTACTAGTTTAGCGAGCAGAACCCTGGAACAGCACTGAAACGCAGTGCTCCCTATGCACACTGAGAGCTTCAAGATAAGTGCACTGCTCGGATGAGATTTTCAAATGTTCCTGGCCAGACTGAGGGTGTAGCACAGCTGCCTGGGCCACTGCACAGGACCACCAGGACCACCAGGCCGAGGGAGGCACAGTGGGCCGAGGCCGGAGGCCAAGCTGCACTGCTGTCGTTTCCAGCGATGCTGTGTGATCCCTGCGCAGGAGCGCTGATGCTCACGTCGTCCACGAGTGTGAACCCACTAAACCCAGGAGCAGCCCTGATGCTCTCAAACACGAAAAAATTAGTCTCTCACACCCTCCAAATCTCTCCAAACGAAAAAACAAACCCAGGAAACAGGAAAAGGACAGCATGGCTTCAGCTGTGGCTGACTCCTTAACAGAGAAATGCAGCTCGACACGCAGCAGTCGGGCTGAGCCCGGTGTGGCAGGAAGGCATGGGGACAGCAGACGCGCCCCAGGCAGCTCTTCCTGGTGAACAAGATGACAGGACAGGAAAGGGGCTACAACAGACCACGTGACAGCCCGCACTTCGTGAGCCAAAAGTATTCCAGGAGAATTTGCTTGAAATCAAAACATTCCAAGGCTTCATCTTTTAAGACACTGGGTGGAATTAGTTCATAACAGCACCACTTGGAAGAACCTTTCCCTCCCAGGAGAGACATCTTTCTGTTTCCATAATGAACCAAAGCCCAAATCCTACAGGTCAGACTGCACAAGACATCAGTAATGACCAAGAAGCCCCGCCAGTGCGGCTCAGTGGTTGAGCATCGACCCTGCACCAAGATGTCACTGGTTCGATTCCTGATCAGGGCACATGCCCAGGTTGTGGGCAAAACCCCCAGTGGAGGACATGCAGGAGGCGGCCAATCAATGTTCTCGCTCATCGATGTTTCTATCTCTCCCTCTCTCTCCCTTCCTCTCTCTAAAAAAAAAAAGAAAAAATATTTAAAATAATAATAATAATGACCAAGAAGGCTTGGCATCAATTTCTCACCAACTGAAAGAGATTCAGTTGATTCTTACCATATTTTTTCCTGATTTCATCATGCCTTGACTTCATCTCTGCTCTCCTAAAAAACAAAGAAACCTCGTTTAGCACCAAAATACAATGTAATTCTGAAAGCAGCACCTTGCATCTCCTTCAGCAGAGCAGCTGCGGTCTGTTCTCGTTCCCGGAATGAGAGGAGGGTGGGGTGGGCTCGCCCCGAGGCCACACTCACACTGGGACAGGTAAGGTGACGCTGGGCACAGCCTTCTGAGCGGCTCCAATATCGTGTCGTTTGATTATTTCAATAAATGCAATTCGAATTTCCGATACTGATGTTAAAATTCTTTTCTTATATAAAGAAAAGGGAGTTATCAGTAAAAACCTTCTGCAGGTTCTGAAGATGGTTAGGAACACGGAGATGCTCGTTTTTATGTGGGGCACACGAGCTCAAGGTGATGACATGGAGACCTGTGGAGCCCGAAGCCTCATCAGCTGCCCCACAAGTCAGCACCTCCCCAAGCCACACCTTGTCCCTAGTCAGGGAGGGGCAGGGACCAAGGGCCGTCCTATGGCTACATCACACAGCCTCGCCACAATGCTTTGAGACCAGGAAAAGTGCTGTTTATCAGCACTGGTGGCATAAGACCCAATTCGGCCACGGGCAGACAAGTGACCTGATCAAACGCTTTCCTCCCTCCCTGAGCCTGGATTTGCTCATCACTGAAGACTGAACAAACTGCCTTCAAGGGCGGGCTCCTGCCACGGCAGCACGGAGAACTCGCCACCCAGCTGGCTCCAGCTGCAACCCTGGCACTGACTGGAGGAAACAGACAAGGAAGTGGTCGGCCTCTGACAAGAGGGGCCCTGGCCCTGGCTAGGGTCCCACATACTTATCTTCCCGCTCTTTACACCACGTCCTAGAAAAACCCACAGACACACATTCATAGACACATAAAACGGAGAAGACTGGTGACTTATCATGTCTCCTGATCTGAGCCCCTGGGGGAACCTCGCCCCATGGGGTGAGTCTGGACTCACCTTTCTTCTTGCCGTATCCTCCTCTCTTCTTGCTCCCTCATGGCCTTCTCCTCGCTTTTGTCTGGCTTCCGGCTCTTCTTCCTCCTGCAGCAGCAGTAGCAGCACGTGGCGACTGCCAGGAGGACGAGGCCCCCGACCACCGACATGGCAATGATCAACGCCTCGAAATTCACTAGAGGTGCAGAGGGGCCCGGGTCAGAGCTGCCTGGAGCAGGAACCTGTCCGGGAGCAGCAGCCCCTCGGGGTGGTGAGCTCTGCCCGAGCGAGGCCCAGCCTGCAGAGCAGGCCTTTCTCAGGGCACAGCTGTGCCACCCAACAGCTTCTCCAGGACAAACAGGGGACCCGAGTTTCAGGGTCCACCACCGGATACTGAAAAGCTGTTTCAAGACTGAGAAAAGTTAACAACACTAGGAAGAGAACACTCGGCTGTGTATTTGGCCTCTCCTAGAACAAAATATAAGGTTGAGGCAGCTTATTTGATTATTTAAGTCAAAGTCAAAGGCATTACATTTATTTCCCACAGGAACTAACATCTGACCATGGCAAGCAGAGAGGACAGTTGATCTTCCCCAGGGGTTTGAAAACAGCCGCCGAGCCCAGCCGGTGTGGCTCAGCGGACTGAGCGGCGTCCCATGGACTGAGGTCCTGGTTGGATTCCTTGTCAGGGCACATGCCCAGGTTAGAGGCTCAATCCCCAGTAGGGGGCGTGCAGGAGGCAGCTGATTGATGTTTCTCTCTTACATCGATGTTTCTTTCTCTCTCTCTATAAAAACATATAAAAAAAGAAAAAGAAAAAAGCTGCCTAATCAGTGTCACGAGTTTATGACTTCCTGTCCGGACCAAACTTCTGAGAAAAGACAAACTTAAGACAAGTTTTACATTCTTTTCAACTTCTCTTAAGATAAACCAGTCACTATTTTTCTATTCCAGCCGAACTCTAATACCTCTTTTGTGAATGTGCTTTGTAAGCATCTGGTTAAAACAGCCGCTGAAGAGGCCCGAAGAGCCGCGGGCCGTGCTATGCACACCTCCGGCACTCCCTTCGTCCCGGGAAAGGAGGTTACAATGCCCACCACCCGAAGTGACGACCTCCAATCTCACTGGCTTCTTGGCTGTGGTCAGGGTGGGGCTTCGGGGTGAGAGTTCTGCGGGGCCCATGGAGGCAAGTGAAGCGCTCGGTGCCCGTGTGGGCCTGAGTCACATCCTGATTGGCTGCCAGCGGGACAGCAAGACTGCATGGTTCACTCAACCATTTTACAATCGGGGAAAGGTGTGGCATCTGATCAGATCCTTCTGAGCTATAACAGCGTGTTTTCCTTCTCTGACCTGCTCTAGAGGTGCTCGAATTACAATAGTGCTAGAAATAATCACAAAGGAGATCTTCACTAGTAGGTGGTGTTGTTTTTGACTCGAGAACTCTATAATAATTAACTTTAAAAATTACTGAGATCGCCCTGGCCCGTTTGGCTCAGAGGTTAGAGTGTCGGCCTGTGGTCCTGAAAGACCCGGGTTTGGTTCCCGCTAAGGGCATGTATCTCGGTTGCAGTTTGTCCCCGGCCCTGGTTGGTTGTGCGGGTGGCAGCCACTCAATGTGTCCCTTTCACGTCGATGTTTCTCTCTTTCTTTCCCCCTCCCACTCTACCTGAACAAAAAATGTCCTCGGGTGAGGATAAAAAAAAAAAAAAAGAAAGAAAAAAAAAATTACTGAGATCAATAAGCTGACTCTAAAATATATCTACCCCAAAAATAGCATTCTTGATTAGCAGCTAAAATCAGTCCCAGAATAAAAACAGAAATCCCATCATAACAGAAAACAAAACTACGGGCTCCTTCCCTTTAAGCCTACATGGCAGATCTGTGACACTACTAAAGGACGTAAAGGGTGACCCAGGCGAGGGAGTGACACCTTGCTTCCGGACAAAGGTTCAAAATGGCAAAGACCACATTTTTCTCCAAGCAAACAAAACAGCCCAGCTGGTGTGGCTCAGCGGATGGAGCATGTCCCATGCACTGGGAGGTCCCAGTTCAATTCCCAGTCAGGGCACATGCCTAGGTTGAGGGCTTCATCCCCAGTAGGGGACATGCAGGAGGGGTCTGATTGATGTTTCTATCTCTCTCTCTCTCTAAAAAAAAAAAAAAAAAAAAAAATCAATAAAAAATTTTTTATTAGTTTTTTAATACTCAAGGATATTTTTCCACTTTATCTTCAGATAGAGGGTGAGGTGGGAGGGAGAGACACACTGATTGGTTACCTCCCACATGACCCCAACCAGGGCTGGGGACAAACCACAACTGAGGTACATGCCCTTGACTGGACTCAAACCCACGACTCTTTGGTCCACGGGCCGACGCTCTAACTGCTAAGCCAAACTGGCCAGGGCCACGTTTTATTTTATTTATTTATTTTATTTTTATTCCTTACCCGAGCATATTTTTCTACTTATTATCAGACAGAGTGAGAGGGAGGGAGAGACAGAGAGAAACATCAATGTGATACAGCCACGTTGACTGGCTACCTTCCACATGACCCGATCAGGGCTGGGGACGAACCGCAACCAAGGTACGTGCCCTTGACCGGAATCGAACCCGCGACTCATTGGTCCGCAAGCCCACGCTCTAACTACTGAGCCAAACTGGCCAGGGCCAGGGCCATATTTTAAATAAATAAATAGGTAGCGGCCTCTGTATGACCCCAAACCTGAAGCCACAAAAGAAAGAATTAATAAACCCAACTGTATAAAAATAAGTTCCATGTAGCAACATACACCATAAACTAGTTTAAAAACAATTGAGAGCCCTGGCCAGTGTGGCTCCGTTGGTTGGAGCATTGTCCTATGCACCAGAAAGTTACAGGTTTGATCCCCAGTCGGGGCACATACAAGAGGCAACTGATCCATGTCTTTCTCACATTGATGTTTTTTCCTCTGTCTCCCTTCCTCTCTTTCTAAAAAAAATAAGTACATAAATAAATAAAAGCAAACTAAAAGACAATTTGAATCTCACAAAAGGATAATTTCCAATGGAAGAATACCTGTAACAACCATATGCAGACAAAGGGACGCATGAGAAAAGGTAGGGACATGTGCACGCTGAGCAGGGGCTCCTTGCCTGGGAAGTCAGAGCCCCTAGGAACCACAGGTATTAACGTGCCCATGAACACAACCAAGATATAAGGTGCTGAGCCATCCAAAAAGCAGGCTTCAATTCACCCCCACCCTCAAGGGCGTGGAAACCCAGTGCAGAGCCAAAGTTGTGGTCTGAAGCTGGGTCTCCCGGATCCCCAAGGACCACCCCCCCCTTACTTTCTGAAGACATCACAAGCTCTCACTGGAGTCCCAACTTGCTACTGGGAGCATCAACTACTGGGAGTATGTTTTCTGGTAGCTTATGTTAACGAGCACAACCAGAATTTTCAAAACCTGTCCTGATTTTGCAAGAAGCTAGTTTTGAAAATGCCCACTTACCCCAGCAAACGCCCCAGCGTGCAGAGCTCAGCGCACAGAGAGAAGCAGGCGGCAAGATTTTTGACACTGGGTAGTCCGAGCACGTCTTATCAGTGTTGCACCAAAGACACTGGGAGAGATAACATTAGATGTTAGAAATTCAGCATAGACACTAACGAACCAGACTGTCCAGGACCTGATCCCCGAACCACCAACCACTTGGTCTGCTCGCCCTTGCGGGATGGTAATGGCCTTGGCCCCCACCCCAACACAGCAGTTCAACTGCCACGGAGAAGCATGCTACTCGAACCTCTTACATTAGGCACCCTGAACAGCCACACAGCCTCTGTGTTGGTCCTGGAAGATGCCAGGCAGCTCCCTGCCCAGAGCCTTTGCATGGACTGCTCCGTCTGCCTGGAAGATTCCTCCCCAGACACATGTGCTTCCTAATCTCCTCCATGAGGCCAACCTACTTAAAACTGCCCCCTGACCGCCCCCCCCCCCCCGCTGCGGCAATCACTCCTGACACACTCAGGCTGCAGGAAGGCAGCATCGTGTGCACACTGAAGGACCCCCAGCAGGCAGAGCAAGTCTGGCCGTGGCAGGAGTTCAATAAGTATGTGTTAGTGGTCTTCCGTGACCGTGGTCACCACTGTGTGCAGATCCCACTTCTGATCTCTACAAGTGCAGCAAGTGGGTGTTACCTCCAGGCCGTTGTCAAGATAGTGCAACTGAGGCTCAAAGGCACCTGCCGAAACCTCGCAGATGCTCCCGGGTCCCTAACAGTGCCAGGGGAGGTGGTCCGGGGCAGGGACAGCGCCTTCACCCCAGTGTCAGGAGCCTGGCGTCGGCACTGTGGCTACGGCAACAAGGGAGAGCGGCTTGGGCTGCAGAATGTGCCTGTGCAGGTCAGGACTTGGCTGGTTTTTTCAGATCTTGAAGGTAAAGTTTTATGGTGTATTTTTCCTTTGAGTTTTTAATAGGACAGAATGTCATGGTCTTTTTTTTTTTTTAATCCCAGGTAAGGATGAATGTCTATTACAAAAAAAAATATTAAAACAAAGCCTGGGTTTTCCCAGGCCTCTTTCCATAATGTCCACTTTAGTGTGCTGGGCTTAAAATGGTTGCATGCATACTTAATAAACAGCAGGGAAACTCTTTTTCTTGGCTGTTTGAGAATATCTTGCATTTTACTGATTTTGTTCTGGCTTAACAATGTTTGGTAAATTTCCCTTTTCAAACAGCCTAAGTTTTAAATGTCAAATTTACCATTTTTATATGATGGTTGTACTGAAAGCCACAGGAATTCACTAGGATACGCTCTCTCCTGTGGTGCTGGGGTTGCTCTGCCAGACGAAGGGAGGAGCGTGCACATGGCAAGAATCTGAGGGACACGACGGGACACAGCGTGTGCTCAGCCTCCCTCTGACCGCGCAGGCTGCTGCCAGGACTCCCAGGCACCGCACGTCCTTTCGGAAACCTCTGCGCACTTAGCCTCGCGCGCGCACACCCTGCAGCTCGGACTTGGTCTGTTTGGGTTCAGAGTGGGGTCAGGACTTCAGAGGAATGCCCATCCCACTGCGGTCTGCACCTCCCCAGCCCCCTTCCCAGAGAGGCAGGAGTTAAACAGGACAACGCTGCAAAAGCGCTCCGGGAACTGCAGAGCCGCACAGACTGAGCCGCTTCTATGGCTGAAATGGAAAAACTCAGGCACCGAAAAGAAGCACCACGAAGAAAATGCCACCCCGAGGACCAGAGGCCCATTCAGCTCAGTGTCGTCAGTGCTAAGATCTGAAACCACAGTACGAGCTCCTGTCCGGTTTAATTGGCAGAGGCAAGGCCTGTCACCCAAAAGATGTGTTTGGGACCCAAGACACGGCCATGTTTTTGTAGGAGCACGGCCCGCGCCTTGAGGCGGAAGTCGTCTGATATATCTTTCCTGATCTGCCCCGTGCCATTAAACCCCTTCCCGGGAAGGAACACAGACTGTGTAGTTCCAACTCACAGACCGGCGGGAGCGGGGAGGCAGCCTTCCCCGGAGCCCAGGCCAAGGGCCCACGAGGGTATTGTCCCTCCCAGCCAGCCCTGCCCTGGCCAGCGGCTCCAGGTCCTCAGCGCTGACCACACGGCTGGGGTGAAATGCGCCAAACCCTCACGGGCGCTGGACTGAGTGCTGCCCAAAAAGTCCATGCCTGAGGGCGGCAACAGGACTCTGACACAGCAGCGCCACGCCCCAAGTCCCATGGGAGCCAGACATGGTGGGCAGTGTCCCGAGCGTCACACACCTACACGTTAGATCCCAGAACGGCTCCTCTGGAAGGGACCCCCATGAGCCTTGCTCAAGGTCACACAGGACTTACAAGAACTAGAGACATTGAAGTCCTGGCTGCGAGGCTCATGACTATGAGCTGTGCAGTCTGACCCCACGGGACTGGATGCCCCCTAAGTCTCTCACTGACCTGATGCCTGTGTCTCTCCTGGCTCTCACCTCTCCCCCATTTCTGTATGAAGAGCGGAGAGAGAAGCATCTCCCCCGACCCCGATGGAGACACGGGACACAGAGCGCTAGGACTCTGGCTAGAGGTTACAGACGGCTCACAGTCCTCTGACCCCTCAGCACTAGCAGAGTGGTGCATGGCAAGGGCTCTGGGCACTGTCATTGTGTCTCCAGGGTGCATTGCAAGATGGAGTCATAACCCCTGTCCCCAACAGGCCTCTAAGGTCTAACGACAACAACATGAGGCCCTAGTCGCAGGTTAACAGTCAATGATTACAGGTATGACCCCTTAGCCCCCACCTCCATTCTGAACAGCACTGTTCATCAGCACCCAGTGCCACCTCAGGGAGGTCTGAACCACAGGCCCGGCACACCTTTTTTAACCCCCACCGTTTCCGGAGTTAAATATGCATATCCATGATGCTCCGGCGTATCCGCAGCCATCATGGGATGGCTTAAGATGCCTGAGAAAGGCTAAAATAATACTTAACATCCATCGCAAAAACACCCCCCACCCCCCACAGCAGAACCCTTAACACACACCAGGGACCCTCCCGCTGGTAAAGTGGGCCTGCTTCCAGCCATGAGCTGGCCCACATGATACTTACAGAGACATTTTTCAGGCACTCTTGACAGGTCTTGTTTGTGTTCTGGGAACAAGCTGTGGGGAAAAGAACAACAAATCACCGAGAAGCATGTGTACCAGCCAGGAGCGCTGGGGGCGCTAGTGAGGCACGCACGGGTCAGTCCTCACAGAGTACCAAGCCTCAGGTCACAGACAGGAGGTACTCAGCCCTGCAGCAGGAGGCACAGGAAAATCGCACACACAGTTACACCCACGGTGGTCTTTCGGGAAAGGTGACTCAGCATACCCTCAAGAGGTGAGCCACGGGGGCAGGAACTACGGACCACTCGTCGGCTGAGGTCAGCTCAGCAGCACTCTGCGGAAGCACAGGTCACAGCGATGCCACGCCCACATCACCACAGCCAGGGCTGTGGGTCCCTGGCCAGTCCCTCAGCCCTTCAGACAGGGATCGCCCCCAACACGCATGGGAGAGGCTGCTACAGCAGCAAGGAGGCCGGGGGCTCTCCCGGCACTGCTGCTCCAGGGGGAGGGTCGTACCCCACCCGAGCAGGTGTGCGTGCGTGAAACATTTCCAATTCGGTGTCAGGAAGCTCGTATTTACCCCATCCTATCCCTAAAAACAAACATTCGCTTTGAAAAGAGCTCTGTACAAACTCATTAATTACCAAAAACTGCAACTTATTTTCATGATAATGTACCACTTCACACCCATCAGAATGGCTAAAATTGAAGGCGGACAATACTAAATGTTGGTGAGGCTGCAGAACAAGTGGGGACTCACGCAGTTTTGCTGGCAGTGGAAAATGGCTCCACCTCTTGAAAACGATCCTGCACTTCCTCATAAAACAGACACACAAGCCTACCCTATGACTCAGTTCTGCTCAGGCATTTCACGCAGGAAAGATCAAAACCGCCATCCACAGGAAGACTTGCACAGGGTGGTTCGCAGCAGCTGTATCTTTAATATGCAGAAGCTGAAAGCAGCCCAGGTGTCCATGTGCAGAAGGATGGGTGGTCATGAGATGGAACACTATTCAGCCATAAAAAGTACTACACTGTAGCCGAGCTAGTGTGTCTCAGTGGTTGAGCATTGACCCATGCACCAAAAGGTCACCAGTTTCCTGGTCAGGGCACATGCCCAGGCTGTGGGCCCGAACTCCAGTGGGGGGCATGCAGGAGGCGGCCAGTCAATGTTCTCTCTCATTGATATTTCTATTTCTCTCTCTAAAATCAATTTTTAAAAAAAGGCAGTGCACCATGTACATAAAACGTGGATAATCCGTAAACGATAATCTAAATGGAGCCACCTGAAAATGGAGCTGGGCCCTGGCTGGTGTGGTCAGTTGGCTGAGCATCATCCTGTGCACCAAAAGGCTGCTGGTTTGATTCCAGGTCAGGGCACATGCCAAGGTTTCTGCTTTGATCCCTGGTAGGGGTGTGTGCATGAGGCAACTGATTGATGTTTCTCTCTCTGGCTCTCCCTTCCTTTCTCTATAAAATCAATAAAAAAATTTTGTTTTAAAAAAAGAAATGGAACTGGGACTGCCAAGCCAGAGCAACCTCCTTGCACATTTTCCTTCCCAAATCTCTGGAATGTTAGAAAAAGGCAAAATAACCTTGGACCTTTCTCACTGTGCAAGGCCTTTTATTTTTAGGTTAGGAGACTTTAAAAGTCATTTAACGGCACACTCACTGTTCCTGCATTTCACTGTGTGTGTGTGGAATTTATCTCAAGGGAAGAACCGCTCCACTCCAGTCAACGGCTCACAGCGAGGCGCTGGGGGAGGGCGCGATGCCCGCACCTTACTCCCGCGCCTGCGCGGAAGGGTGTGAGAGGGACACTTGCACAGAGGCCATGGGGCAACTGTGAAGGACAAAAGCTGAGTGTGTCGAGTATTCGTGTTCACTGTACTCTTCTTTCAACTTTGCTGTATGAAGATTTTCACAATAAAATGTAGGAAAAAGAGCTTTAGCTTCAAGTTACAATTTTCATGTACTATATTTGCTAAATGGGACTTACTCTAAAATAGTTGGTTCTTTTTTTTTTTTTTTTTTTATCCTCACTCGAGGATATTTTTCCATTTTTTGTACAGATAGAGTGGGAGGGAGAGAGAGGAAGGGGGAGAGAGAGAGAAACTTCGACGTGAAGGGACACATCGAGTGGCTGCCACCCGCACGACCAACCAGGGCCGGGGACCAACTGCAACCGAAGTACGTGCCCTTAGCGGGAACCGAACCCGGGTCTCTCCGGACCGCAGGCCGACACTCTAACCGCTGAGCCAAACCGGCCAGGGCTAGTTGGTTCTTTTTTTTTTTATATCCTCACCAGAGGATATTTTTGCATCTATCTTTAGATAGAGCAGGAGGGAGAGAGGGGGGAAGAAAGAGAAACATCGATATGAGAGAGACACATCGAGTGGCTGCCACCCGCACGACCCAACCAGGGCCGGGGACAAACTGCAACCGAGGTACATGCCCTTAGTGGAAACCGAACCCAGGTCTCTCTGGACCACAGGCTGACGCTCTAACTGCTGAGCCAAACAGGCCAGGGCTAAAATTGTTGGTTCTTCTACTCAATAGTGTGGTGCTTCTACATACATCCCATTTCTCTAAATAAAATCCTATTTTATTTTAAATGAAATAAAACCCCATTCTTTTGTGTATCATTCTGCAGCAATTATTAAATAGTACTCTTTTCAGTGTCTCTAGTGATGCGCTATCGGGTTTATGTTGATGCTTACTTTTAAACTACTTTAAGGACTTAGAACAACGGACTTTATCTTTTTTGATTTTTTCATTAATCCTTACCCAAGGATAGTTTCCACTGATTGTTTTTTTAAGACAGAGTTTAAGGTAAGAAAGGAGGGAAAAAGAGAGAGAGAAACATTGATGTGAGACAGACAGATTGGTTGCCTACCACATGAGCCCGGGGGGCCAGGGATCAAACCTGCAACCAGATATATGCCCTTGACCAGGAATCAAACCCAAGTCTCTCTGGTGTACAGGCCAATACTCCAACCACTGAACCACACTAGTCACGGCCAACAGATTTTATTTGGTCCCAGGAAGGTAAAGAAAATCGACAACCCCTGCCCGGCTGGTGTGGCTCAGTGGTTGAGCGCTGATCCAGGCACTGAGAGGTCGCCGGTTCGATTCCTGGTTGGGGCACATGCCCAGGTTGTGGGTCCAGTCCCTGGTGGGGGGCATGTAGGAGGCAGCCAACTGATGTTCTCTCACATCCATGTTTTTCTCTCTCTCTTCCTCTCCCTTCCTCTCTCTAAAATCAATAGGAAAAAAAACCCACCAAAAACATAAAAATCGACAACCCCTGAAATGCCCTGATGTCTCAAGGTACTGGTAAGAGAGATAGGGGGACAGTGGCATTTTGATAAGAACAGTCGTCACCATGTTAGAGGCCCCAGCACCTGGGCGCTAGGAGAAGGGAGAGGCAAAGAGCCCTGTGCTGTTAGGGTGATGATGCAGCCTGAACACTCGATTCCTAGCTGTCCACGAAAGGGCCTGGAAAGGACAACGCCCAGGGGCAGGGGCAGGTGTGGTGCCCAGGTCTTGGTTCCTCTAGAAGGAGCCAGAGCTCCTTGGAGAACAGCTGGCCCAGAGCTGGTGCAGAGGCAGATGAGCCCTGGGCAGCCTGCTGAGCCAGAGAGCGGCACAGACTGATGGGCAGGTGGACGGTAAGCACGTCCACGTCGGATTGGTGGGGTTTCTCTTGTTAAAGAGGGACAATTTAAACATCCAAGTAAATGAAGCAATGGACTCTGACCTCTTGAATACATGGTTTCATACCGACACGAAATAAATAAATACAGAGAAGGCAGCAAGCAAAGGAGAAAGCATTTCCACTTTGCAACCATCACAGTAAACAGGGACACCAAGACCGCTGTGCACATTGGTGGTACCTCCCCAGTTTAACCTCACTTAATCATGAGAAACGGCACCCGAAAAGTGATCAAAGAATCACCAGTGTAACCTGTGACCATGTGACAATGGGACAAAGTGACAGCAGGTGCCTCCCAGAGGGTGAGGGAGGACAGTCACCAAGTGTTTGAACCCTATCAAAATGCATTGGAGTCCTGGCTGGTTTGGCTCAGCAGTTGGAGCATCAGCCGGCGGACAAAGAGTTGTGGGTTCGATTCTGGTCAAGGGCATGTACCTTGGTTGCAGTTCTGCCCCCAGCCCTGGTCAGGGTCGTGTGGAATGCAACCAATCAATGTGTTTCTCTCACATCGATGTTTCTTTCTCTCTCCCCTTCCCACTCTATCTGAAGATAAATGGAAAAAAATATATCCCTGGGTGAGGATTAAATAAAAAAAAGCATTAGAATCAAATCACAGGAAATTCAGACAAGACCAAACTGAGGGTCTCTGCACAAAGCAGCTCTCGGAAAACACAGGACTAAGTAGCTATTCCAGATGAACAGATATTAAGAGACATAACTAAATGTACCATGAGCCTGGATGGGGCCAGAGGGCAGGACAGGGACACAGGACATTACTGGGATATTTGGTAAACACGTGTTAAAGGATACACGTGTTAAATGAAGTATTCAAGTATCATATCACTGGTAATTGTCAAGATTTTGGTAATTACATTCCCATTATATGAAAGAATGTCCTGGTTCTAAGGCGACACATCCTCAAGAATTTAGGGGTAAAGGGCCACATCACTACTTACTCTCAAATGGTTTGGTTAAGAATGTAACAAGCAAATGGAGAGGGAGTAGCAAAGCAGACGTGGCAAACGCTGTGGGAACAAAGACTCAGAAGCTCAATGTTCTAGTTATTTCTTCAACTTCTCTGTGGCTATTAAATTTTGCTGAATAAAGAGTTAGGCAGGGGCCCTGACTGGTTTGGCTCAGCGGTTAGAGCATCGGCCCTCAGACCAATGAGTCTCAGGTTCGATTCCAGTCTCGGGCACATAGCTCGGCTGCAGTTTGTCTCCGGCCCTGGTCAGGCCGTGTGGGAGGCAGCCAGTCTGTGTGTCCCTGTCATATCAATGTTTCTCTCTCTCCCTCCCTCCCACTCTATCTGATGATAAATGGAAAAATATCCTCAGATGAGGATCAAAAAAAAAGAAGAGTTAGGCAGGGGAGGTTCGGTGGGAACCTGTGCACCACCTACCCCACCCACTCTCAAGTCCTTGCTGAGAACTTCCACAAGAAAGGTGGCACTTCCTCCCCATCTATCTTAGCAGAATGGCAGCAGGCAGCAGGGGTGATGCAGTACAGGGATTTTTCACGGGGATTTTCACTTCTGAAGTCTTTGTGATAGCTCCTCTCGCGTGAACTAAAAGAACTATGCTCCAAAGCACACCCCTTAAACTTAATCCACCCCATGGCCTCTGACTACAGGCCAGTATGAGTCAACAAAGAAGCATGGGAGGCGGGGGCCAAGGGAACTGCCCAGCCCTTCTGCACCAGCACAGCCAGGCACAGGGCAGGTTTTCAACACAAGCAGAAGCATCTGTGTTAAACAAGTTCGGAGCTGGGAAAGGTCATTCTGCACTCCCTGGAAAACACCCTCATCCTCTCACACAGTAAGAAAGAACAATACACGAACCATTTGCTACTGCTTCAAGGATCGGGAGTTTTCCTTCTGTAAGATGTCACTCACTCAAAACCATGTGCTCAAAGCCAGAGAAAGGAAAAAAAAAAAAGCCGTTTCTTATGTCTACTGCGAGTTCTGAAATCTTCAACTTAGATTCTATATATTAACAATTAAAGAGCTTTAAGTCTCACTCACTTTGGAAATGAAAGGACAAAAAAAAGTTCTTCTGTAGGGCACACCAACCCATGACCCACTTTCTAGTTCTTTTCAGGTGAGTCAACTGATTAAGTACCAAAGGACATACACTAGCACGTGTAAAGATAACATTTTTTAACAACAAGGAAACAGTCCAGCCTGTGTGGCTCAATGGATTGAATGTCACCATTCAATGGACTAAGAGGTCCCGGTTCCATTCCCGGTCAGGGCACATGCCCCGGGTGCAGGCTTGATCCCCAATAGGGGGCATGCAGAAGGCAGCCAATTGATGTTTCTCTTTCTCTCTCTCTAAAAAAAAAACAAGAAAACAAAAACATATTTAAAAAATAATAATAAAAAAAGGAAACAATGCCCTGGCCAGTGTGGCTCAGTTGGCATCGTCCCGTGCACCAAAAGGTTGCTGGTTCCATTCCCCATTGGTTGGGGCATGGGTTGTGGGCTCGATCCCCAGTGGGGTGCATGCAGGAAGCAGCCAATTGATGTTTCACTGTCAAACTATTCTTAAAAAAATAAATACATAAAAGAAGGAAATAGTATATTATTTATGGCCTATAGCTCACATAATAGGCCAAAGGGCTGTAGCTGCTGAGCCCCAAGGCGGTGGAACAAGCCCCTTATCTGGGCAACATGTCCACAGTGCCCATGACAAAGCCAAACCGTCCATTTCATGTGAGAAACAAGGATGGAAAATTCACTGAGACAAAAAAGCCCTGGTCACGTTCCTATCCCTGCAGAAGAGAGTCAAGACTGTAGTACATAAAACCATGGACCATATGTACACATACGTGAACACCTGCACCACCTGCTGCGAAAGCTCCAGTTCTTGGTGGGTAGTGGGAAGGATGGCTGCAGACCCCTGCACATCCAGATGCCACTATCAGCAGCAGTCGGGTGCCCCACAGAGCTCCTTTGGACCCCTCTGTTCAGGACAGCAGCCTGGGGTCCTTGAAGGTATCGCCTCTCCTTGAGATGTACAGATGAAATTCTGGGATGGAGTCTGGCCCATGCACAACGCAAGTGGGGTCCAAAAGCACAGGAAGGTTTCTTTAATGTAATGAGATTGCTCTCAGATCTTCAGTGCCGCGGGTTGCTCCCATCCCCCTCCAGCAAAGCATACAAAGATGGTAGAAATTGTTGGTTTTGGATGGGTGTGACGTACACTTAGAATTCATACACCTGGGAGGGTTAATGTTATGTATTACCTTCATTGGACTAAGAAAAGCCCAGACAGCTGATAAAACCTTATTTCTGGGTGTTGTCTGTGAGGGTGTTTCAGAAGAGATTAGCTTCTGAATCAGTAGACTGGAGAAAAAAGAGATGCCCTCCCCCACACAACCTGAAAGAACTAACAAGCAGAGTGTGAATTTGCTCTCTTCTTGCTGGAGCTGGGACTTCTATCTTCTCCGGTTCTGGGTCATCGGTGCTCCTGGTTCCTGGTCCTTCAGACTGGGCTGCAACTTACACCACTGGCTCCCCAGTTCTCAGGCCATCTGATCTGGACTGGAGCTACACTATCCACCTTCCTGGGCCTCCACCTTGTAAACAGCAGATCAAGAGACTTCCCAGCCTCTGTAATCATGTGAACTATTACCTCATAATAACTCTCTTTCACTACAGCTATATTGGTTCTGCTTCTCTGGAGAACACTAATATGCTTAATGAGGAAGACACAATGTTTTAAATAGTGTAGTCACATTCCTATAGATTAACAAGCAGCAAAAGTCTCACACTAAGTACATACTCTGCGGGAAGGGGGTCTCAGCGCGGTAACAGTGCCCCCTCTCCAATGAAAGGTGAACGCAGACCCGAAGGGCACCTGGGCCATGAACACCATAACTACCTGACACCACTCCTCCCATTTGAAGGTGCTGCTGACAAGAGAAACAACAGTTCACTCACTACCAACCCAGGACTTGGGGCACATCTAGAAGACAAAGTGGGTTACTATAATAAAGCAACTTCCAACTGGACTGACAGTAAGTACACGCCACACGCCTAGAGAAAGAGTTGCTTTTTACTCAAAATAACAGTTCTAATTTAATTCTCAAACACTTCAGGGCATTTCCTGACTCGCGCCCTCAGCCACTGAGAGATTCTTCTGCGATCACAGATTCTTTTTGTAGATATCCATTGTTTGCTAAAAAGTACTCATTCCCTGCCTGACCAGCGGTGTGGCTCAGTGGATTGGGCGTTAGCCCATGGACTGAGAGAGGTCCTGGTTGATTCCTGGTCAGGGCACATGCCTGGGTTGCAGGCTCAATCCTCAGTGGGGGGTGTGCCGGAGGTAGCAGATCAATGTTTCTCTTTCTCTCTCTCTCTAAAAAAATCAATAGAAACATATTTAAGTAAATAAACAGTACTCATTCCCCATTTAAAAAAAATTTTTTTTCCTCTTTTTTTTTTTTTTTGATTCCTCACCTGAGGACATTTTTACATTCATCTTCAGATAGAGCGGGAGGAAGGGAGAGAGAAAGAGAGAGAGAAACACTGATGTGAGAGAGACACATCGACTGGTTGCCACCCACAAAACCCCAACCAGGGCTGGGGACAAACTGCAACCGAGGTACATGCCCTTGCAGAACCAAACCCAGGTCTGGTTCACAGGTCGATGCTCTAACCACTGAGAAAACTGGCCAGGGCAAAAATTTTTTCCTTTACTGATATTAGAGAGAGAGACAGAAACACTGATGAGAGAGAACATTGATTGGCCACCTCCTGTATGCCCCCCACTGGGGATTGGCCCACAACCCAGGCATGTGCCCTGCTAGGGAATCGAACCACCAACCTCTTGGTGCATGGGTTGATGAGGCTGTACCCCTGAGCCACACCGGCTGGGCTCATTCCTCATTTCTGCTGAGAACTCAACTTAGACCAAAAGTTCCCTCTACAGTGCAACTAGGCTGCTTTGTTAAGAAAAATCACAAAAACATACACAGAATTAGACCGGGAAGTAAATTAGAAGAAAATCAAAACAGTCCTGTACTGGAATAAACCTGCAGTAAGGTCACAAAGAGGAAAGGTGTTTGCTGTGCTCAACAGACACTGACAAAGCCTGGGCTAAAAGGAGTTGAGAGAAAATACTGACCTCAGGCTGGGCCCAGGTCAAGTCTACTTGTAAAGGTCTTGAAACAGAGGCTAAGAGGCCTGCCCCTGGCTCCATTTCCCACAACTAGTGACCACATGGGTACCCACACACAGTGCCAGTTTGAAACATTTCTGAAACAGATCCAACTTACAGTCCCAGCTCAAACCCTTTCAGGCCCTGGGGCTGTCACCCCTTCACCTGCCCCTCATGGAGCCACCCTCCAGCAATACAGTACTCGGTTTCTGCAACTCTTTGGCCCTCAGGTCATGCAATTTCCTCCACCAACGCTCCCCTCACTTTCCCCTCCCCAGCCCCCAGCACTCTGGATAGTTTGTTTCTTGGTCAGTCTCCCAGAAACTCAGCTTCTCAAGGAACTCTGGGGCACCACCGTGGGCCCAGCGCCCGGCACACACAGGTGGTTAGCAACAGGTGGGAAACCCAATGAAGAAGGCCCAACGCAGTTCTGGAGTGTCGAAGGGAATCAGCTCGACCCAGAGTGGCAGCCGCTACGGCACTGTGCATTCCCCTGAAGCTCAGGCCCCCTGTAACTCCGAGGACCACTCCTCGAGTGGGCTCGTGCCGGTGACGCTTGAGCAGGTTCTTCAGATCCAACAATGCAATCCCGACTTCGAAACTAGAGCCGAGAGTGTTTCCGAGGGTCGAGGGACGTGGTGAGGCTAAGCGAGAGGGCAGGGTGCTGAGCCAGGCCGGCCCTGCAGGCTCCGCGGGAACGCGCAGCCCCGCGGGCCTCGAACCTGGACCACCCCGCACAGCCCCGCGGGGCGGCGGCAGCGGCTGACCCAAGACAAAGGGACGGCCAGCCCCCTCCAGGGGCCCCAGCGGCGGCTAGACCCGCGAGACCGGACACTCTGGTGGCCCCAGTCCGCCGCCCCCGCAGACCGCGGCCCGGGACGGGGATGGAAGTGGGGCGGCCACCCGGCGTAGCTGTGACCCCGACACTCAGCAACCCCTCTGCCTCCACGCCCCCCGCCTGGCACCAGGACCCCGCGCCCCCTCCGTCTCCCCGCCCGACCCCGTACCCCGCGCCCCCTCCACCGCTCGGCCCCACTCAGGACCGGAGCCCTCTCCGCCGTCCTCACCCACTCCGGGCGACTTCTCCACCGCGGCCGCCGGGAGGAGCAGCAGGAGCAGCGTGGCGGCGCCGAGGGGCAGCCCCCAGCGCACAGTCGCCCCCCAAGCCCCGCGGGACCCCATGGTGGTGTGGCCCAGCTGGTCTTGGGTCAGTGGTCAGCTTGGCTGCCTCAACCGGGAAAAGACTCGCGCCGGAAGTGGGTGGGGCAGGAGGCTCTAGCGAGTGCGCAGCCGCGAGCTCCAGCTCGCCCCGCCCCTCGCCGTCAGGCCCACCCCTTGCGGAGCGTCTCCCCGCCTCCCTGCGTGATGCGGCCGGAGCTCAGCGCGCCTGCGCAGCGAGGGGGCGGGTACCCGTTCTGGGTCAGTGCGCCTGAGCCGCACGGTGTGTGCTTGGGTCGCTGTCTTTTAATTTGCCTGCGCGGTTGTGAGTGGTGTTTGGAAGACTGGAGTGTACCGTGGCCTTGACCCTAAAAAGGTGAAGCCCTGGAATATGGCCCCAGGGACTGACCGACCGCAGCTTCACTCAGAGCAAATACTTGGCCGGCCGGATCCCCGCCTGAAAGACACCCCCACAGCCCTCCGCCTGCTCTGGGGAACCCTGGTTCCCTGACGTCCTCGGTAGCGGGCCATTCATTGCTGACCCCCCACGTCCTCCAGAGCCCTGCGCCAGCACCCTGATCCCTCGCCGATCATCCGCACACCGCCACCCCCTCTCCAGGCGCCACCTCCAGCCCGCTCCCGTGAAGGAAAGCGGGGCTCTGCACGAAGTCAGTGATGGAAAGTAACCTCACGGGATGAACTGACCATAAATCTCTAACTCATGCTCAAGGTGCGAAGTCACTGCGTGGGCATTTGACTTTTTTTTCTTTTGAGAATACGGTTATAGCCCAGCCGGTGTGGCTCAGGGGATGCAGTCTCCTCCCGTGGACTGAGAGGTCCCGGTTCGGTTTGGGGTCAGCCACATGCCCAGGTTGCTGACTCTATCCCCAGTAGGGGGCGTGCAGGAGGCAGCTGATCCTTGTTTCTCTGTCACGTGGGATGGTTGTCTCTCCCTTCCTCTCTGTCTTAAAAAAATCAATTTAAAAAGAAAGAAAGAAATGTAGTAAAATAGGCTCCCAGATTGCCATTGGAAAATGAGAGAGGACCGAAAGTGGGTGGGGGAAAGACGTGGTCTTTTTCCCATCTTCTCTGTTTCTGACCTGGCAGAGAATATATACAAGCACAAGGGTGGAGCTAGAGAAAGGGTATTGGAGGGTGTGTGTGTGTGCGCGTGTGCTGGAAGCTATATGCTGTATAGCTTCCACCTGCTGTATGCTGGAAGCTATATTCTCCACCCCAGCCTCCCCACATTGGGCACAAGCAACACACATTTGGAATCAGGAAGCCACAAGAAGCGATGATAGTGGGAATAACAAGCATAAGAGCAAAAAGCAAGCTTAGATACCCAGAACGTTCCAGCAGGAAGGGATGGAAGAATGATCCGATTCCAACCCCTGCTTTGCACCATTGGGAGCCTAACATTCAGGCAGTAATGAACCTAAGTCACACAGCCAGAGATGGGGTTTATTTTTTATTTTATTTTATTTTATTTTTATTTTTGTTACAGATGTTTCTCCTACCCCCCCCATTGACACTCTCCTCCCAATCCTGCCCCGCCCCCCAGCATTGTTGTCTATGTCCATGGTTACGCATACATGCATAAAGTTATGTGGTTTATCTCTCCCCCCCCCCCCCGTTTTCCCCCTCTTCTGAGGTTTGTCAGCCTGTACCCTATTTCTATGTCTCTGGGTCTATTTTGTTCATCTTGTTTTGTTCATTATATTCCACAAATAAGTGAAATCATGTGGTATTTGTTTTTCTCTGATTGGCTTGTTTCGCTTAGGATAATACTCTCTAGGTCCTTCCATGTCATCTCAAAGAATAAGAAGTCTTTCTTTCTTACAGCTGCATAGTATTCCACTGTGTATATGTACCACAGCTTTTTTTTTTAATCCTCACCCAAGGATATTTTTCTATTCATCTTCAGTGTGGGAGACCATTTGCATGGCATCCATCTTGTTAAAGTCGGCTCTGCCGTCTCTGGCCCCAGGGCGGGGCCTCTGCATACAGTGTCTGCATTCCTCTAGATAATTGTTTACTCCATTCTTTGCTTATCATTTGTTCCACCTGGGGTATTTGCTGGAATTTGCTTCAGGTGGGATACTCAACTGTTTCACCTGTTTTTCCCCTATATATTATGTGAACTCGCCCTGAATAAACGAGACTTGATCAGAATCCTGTCTTGTCTCCATTTCTCGTGTCTCTTGTCCCTCCTCATCCTCACTCCCCCTCTAGAGTCCTCGTTGCTCGACCTGCGGGATGGGTCACTTCAGATAGAGTGGGAAAGAGAGAGAGGGAGAGAAAGGGAGAGAGTGAGAACATCGACGTGAGAGGGACACATCGACTGGTTGCCTCCCCCATGACCCCGACCAAGGGATGAACTGTAGCTTCTTAGGGTATTCCTAGAAGTGGGATCACTGGGTCAAATGACTATTCAATTTTTAATTTTTTGAGGTAACACCATATTGTTTTCCATAGTGGCTGCACCAGTCTGCATTCCCACCAGCAGTGTACTAGAGTCCCCTTTTCTCCACACCCTCACCAGCACTTGTTTGATGATTTGTTGATGTCAGCCATTCTGACAGGTGTGAGGTGATACCTCATAGCTGTTTCAGAGATGTGATTTAAATTCAGGGCCTCCAACTCCCAGGTCACATGCTATCTGGGGATTAGAATTTACAAGGCCCACAGTCCGGGAACCAATAACCACAGGTGTCATTGGGTGCCACGGTTTCACAGAAGGAAGCCTGGGCCTCAGGGAATAGACTGTTCCCTGTGCACTCTTGGCAGTGTGGCCCCAGGAGAAAGACCATTTTCTGCTTCGGGAGTTCCAACAGCCATGTCTACACTAGTGCTCCAAGCTGTGGGCCGCCTCCCAGGAGCCCCACTTTCTGAACACGCAGGGCAGGGTGGCATTCTCCAGAGGGGCAGCCTCAGCTACAGAGAGCCGTCTGTCTCCTTTGCTGGAGGCCATCAGGTGATGTCATCCTGCCATCCTGGTTAGCAGACCTTCCCTGTATGTTCTTTACTTTCTGTTGTGTGAGCAGTTTGTGTTTTATTCTGTATTTGTCTCCCATGTCTTGCTCTCCCCCTGAAGAAGCCCATCTTTTGCCATCTTGAACTGAGAACCCGGACCATTTTTGCAGAACTGCTTGGCAGGTGCCCACAAGCAATACCTCTCCTTCCAGCAGGATCAAGGGAGCCCACCTCAGTGAGTGACAGTGACTTGCACACCCACCTCTCCCTCCAGAGTCAGGAGCCCTTTCCACCTCTGGTGCCGAGGCCAGTGCGCTCGCTCACTGAGGGGTCTTTTCCTGTAAGGTGATCTTTGGCACACCGGGGCTTCCCCATGGCCCGGGTCACTTTTATTTCATGGACTCTGGACTCTTTCAAAGGGATCTGATCCTTTTGAATTTTGCACAGTCCTAGATAGAACCCCCCCCCCCCATTTTTTTGGTCTTTATTGATTTTAGAGACAGAGGAAGGGAGATGGAGAGAGAGATAAAAACATCGATAACAGAGAACATCAGTTGGCCGCCTCCTGCATGCCCCCACTGGGGACGGGGCCCACAACCTGGGCATGTGCCCTCACTGGGGATCAAACCGGCAACCTCTTTGGTACGTGGGTTGATGCACAACCACTGAGCCATAGCGCCCAGGCTAGATAGAATCCCTTTTGATAAAAGGGTCTTTGCTCCTGGGATTATACGGATACTATGGAACGGCTGTGAATATTTTTTATTATTCTGTGTAAGGTTGGTGTACACTCAAGTGAAACCAGTCCATGGCAGTTGCTGCTCTCTGTACAGGCCCAGGATGGAATTCAGAAGGAAAGGGGTGAGGGGGAGGGGGAGGGGGAGGGGGAATGAGTGTGTTTCCTGCAGGCCAGGCTGGTGCTCAGACCCTTTAGACTCATGGTAAGTTGCCACTGCCAACATGAGAACAAAACGTATGACTTGTCAATGTGCAAGTGTGACATCATTAAAGACTGATGCTAGCCTCAGAGTCTAGCCTTGCCTCAGCATGGGAGCTGAGCCCAGCCCCAAAGAGCCAAGGCCTGCCGCGAAGACCCCAGGTCAGACCCGAAGAGCCGTGCCCAGCCTCGGAGCCTCGGAGCCTGGCCTTCTAGAGCACAGCCTGTGCTCCGAGGGCCCAGCGAGGCCCAGAGCCCCAGCAGCTCGATGTAGGTAAGCAGACTGATACAAGCCTCGGAGGCCAGCCGAGCTTCTCGGAGACCAGCAGCCTGGCCCGGCCTCTCAGGTGCCCGGAGCGGCACGGCCTGGTGATTCGGAGCCGAGCGAGGACGGCCTGACGCTCCTGGAGAGCTGAGTGTGCCGCCCAGTGAGGCCAGCCTGGGATCTCCCGGAGAGCCTGTCCAGGCCCATGCCTCCGATCCCTGTCGGAGAGCCGAGCGACGTCACTTGTTAACATACATCGTGTGTGGGTGGAGAAGTAAATATACAGTTTTGGTATTTGATTGAAAGTTGTTTCTGTAAGTTTAAAAGAGACTGTTATAACTATAAGACGGTTTATGAAAGCCTCATGGTAACCACAAAGGAAATATCTAGAAGAGATAAACAAAAGAAAAAGAAATCAAAATGTACCACTACAAAAAAAATCAATGAATCACCAAGGAAGCCAGCAAGAGAGGAAAAGAGGAACAAAAGAACTGCAAGACGGGCAGAAAACCAGTGACAATGTGACAAGAGAAAGTCCTTATCTATCAATACTTTAAACATAAATGTATTCAACTATCCAGTGAAAAGACAGAGTAGCTGAATAGACTGAAAAAAAAAAAAAAAGAAATAAAAAGCCCAGAACCTAACTATGTACTGGTCTATAAGAGACTCACTTTAGCCTTAAGAATGTGCACAGGCTGAAAGTGAAGAGAGAGAAAAAGGTATTTTAGCCCTGGCCGGTTTGGCTCAGCAGTGAGAGGGGCCTGCACACCACTGAGTTGCAGACTCAATACCGACCGGTCAAGGGCATGTACCTCGGTTGTGATTTGGTCCCCGGCCCTGGTCGGGGTTATACAGGAGGCAAAAAGCCGATGTGTCTCTCTCACATTAATGTTTCTCTCTCTCTCCCTCCACCCTTCCCACTCTATCTGAAGATAAATGGAAAAATATCCTCCGGTGAGGATTTAAAAAAAAAAGATAAAATGGTCAATTTATCAGGAAGATATAACAATTATAAATATATGTGCACTCAATACCATGGCACTTAAATATTTAAAGAAAAAATTGGAGAAGACAGGCAAATTCCCTTTTTCTCAGGGGACCTCACTTAATTTTCTCTTAAGGCCTCCAAACCATTAGATAAGGCCCACCTACATTAATAGGATAATCTGCTTACTCAAAGTCTGCTGATTTACATGGTAATCTCATTGAGAAAATACCTTCACAACTATAAAAAGACTGGTGTGTGACAATCTGGGTACTGTGGCCCAGCCAATTTCACATGTAAAATTAATAATCACACTAATGCCCTGGCCAGTTTGGCTCAGCGGTTAGAGTGCAGGCCTGCGGTCCAGAGAGACCCGGGTTCGGTTCCTGCTAAGGGCACGTCCCTCGGTTGCAGTTTGTCCCCGGCCCTGGTTGGGTCGTGCGGGTGACAGCCACTCGATGTGTCCCTTTCACGTCGATGTTTCTCTCCCCCTCTCTCTTTCTCTCCTTCCCTCCCACTATATCTGCACAAAAAAATGGAAAAATGTCTTCAGGTGAGGATAAAAATAATAATAATCACACTAATTAAGGTAATATTCTTCATTCCCTAGATTAGGAAATGAATATAGCTTTAGGGGCCATTTTGTTAAGCTTATCACAGTATATCTGTCCTCTGGCTTCCAAAGATTAATGTCCATCCCACATGTAAAATACATTCATCCCATTCCAATATCTCCATAAGTTTCAATACATTACAACTTCAACCTAAGTTCAAAAGCTTATTAAAATATCACCAGCTCAAAAGTCCCAAATCTTATCATCTAAATAGGTGTTAGTAAGACTGGGTATGATCCATTCTGTGGCAGAATTTTCCTACATTTGTGTGAAAGTAGAAAACAAGTCATGTTCCCAATGTGTAATGGTGGGCCAGGCTAGGATTACAGTTACAGGCGCTTCCATTCCAAGGGGGGAAATGGAAGATAGAGTCACTGGTCTTGAGCAATTTTGAAATCCAGCAGGTAAAGCAAAGACACTCTGGTTGGGAAGCTTGCCAATCTCTGAGTGTTCTGTCCCTGTAGCCTCTAACCATCCCCATGGAGCCTGCTCTACCTCCCACTGGGGCCTCTAGCCCTCCCAAGGGGGCTCTAAACCCCCCCCACCCCCCCACGGAGCCTGCTCTACCTCCCACTGCTCTACCTCCCACGGGGGCCTCTAACCCTCCCCGCGGAGCCTGCTCTACATGCCATAGGAGCTGCTGTCTCAACCCACCCTGGCTGGTCCCCCTCAGAAAGGCTGCCTCCTCCGACCTGGCATCCTTACCCTGGGAGAAGTGCCCGCGTTGTTGACCAGCACGTCCAGGCCCCCGGACACCTTGCGCAGGGCACAGATGCTCTGCAGGTCATGGATGCCCAGCTGGTGGGAGCTCGGGCTCAGGTCCTCGGTCCTCAGCTGCCATAGGCCACCCAACCCCATGCTGAGACCCATGCAGTGAGCACCACGTCCCCTGAGAACCGCCGGCACAAGTCCCCTGTGACTGCAAAGCCCTTGTTGGCCTGAGTCACCAGCGCCACGTGGCTGTAGGAAGACACCGCTGGGTGGGGAGTAGGGCACTTGAACAGAGAGCAGACCGCGCTGTGGGTCTCGGGCTGGCCGGTGCTGTTGCAGTCTGTGGTGACCCGGACAGTCCCAGAAGTGGTACAACACTGAGTTCTGGGCTCCGGGGCTATGACTTCCAGACAGAAGCTTGCCCCCGCCCCTCCCTCCACAGAGGGGCTGTGCTCCAGGGTTACTACCACCACCACTGCGGGTCTGCCCTTTCCTGTGATGTACCTTGGGCCCAAGCAGGACACACAACCCTCTTTCGATCCCAGCTCTGAGCCCAGCAGTGGATGGAGGCAGGGAGGTGGCAATGATCATCGAGGGCAAGAGATTGATGGCAGTTGGACTAGAAACTTTTAGGAGAACCACAGAAGGTGAGAGTTGTGCCAAGGTCATGTTTTTGGCTTGGGCCCATCATCCACCAGAAAGGGGACATTGGCTTTTTCCTAAAACACAACGAAAGAGTTAGACAGGGTAATGGCTTCTGAGGACATAGATTCCCTTTCTTTCTTGAGAGAAATCAAGACAGAACTAAAGAAATAGGTCCTGCGATTACTTTCCGTGTGGGCGGAGCTCCTCCCTCTGAGCATGCCCACAGTGCCCCCAAGCGGGAGGGAGAGTTTATGAAGCTCTTACTATGTGCCAAGCCAGGGATCACATGTGTATTTCATGGTTACATAATTCCTGTTTGCTTGCAGTCCTAGGTCACAGTTCACAGAGATCTATAAGCCCCACCCCACCCACTGCTGAGAAACTGCGTGTGACTACTCTCACGCTACAAAAGCCGATCTGAGTGCTTCTGACAAACTGTTACCTTGAGGCTGAAAATATATAGTCTGGCTCTTTCTAGAATGTTTGCCGGCTCAGTCATACTGTCCCTCCCTTGACTGAACTTTTCGGTCCATCAGATTCCTGAGCGAGTTGAGCACGTAAACAATACGCATGATGCCCCTGTAGAAAGAATCCTATACTCACCTGCCCATTTTCACTCATTACTCTCACCCCACTTTCTCCCCACGTGTCACAGAAGACATCACCACTCCCAGAATTAGTAGCCAACTCAAACTGAATGCTTTATAAAGATATTTTGATATATATATATTTTTTTGAATAGAAATTATTTGACAGTGTACACGGCCTTTTGGTCAATTCAGAACAGGTAAAGTTACAGGGCCCATGGAGGGAGCTATGAGGTGAGCTCACCACTGTTCAACCTTTTTCTCCATAACAAACTGTCCGTGAGGCCCCTCAGCATCTGGGGGCAAAAGGGCCAAGAACACAGGGGTCTCTGCTCCTTCTTCTGGGCTTTTGGTGGCTTTGGGTCCAGCCATGTCGGTCCTCACCCACCCCGGACAGCAGGCATTCAGAAGGATCTTGTCCCCTTTCCTGTGCTCACTCAGGTTCCTGGCATGGATTCTGGACAGGACCGTGACGCCGATTTTCGTGACTCCGTAGGCGGTGTTAGGCCAGCCCTCCTTCTGGTGCGCTCCGGTCCTTGTATCTTCCACGAACTTGTTCATGAGCCCCACCAGCTCCTCCTCGCTGATGGTGTCACTCCGAAACTTCTGCTGCAGTTCTGGGCTGCAATTTTTCAGGGCCCTGAGACTCACCATGCTGGACACATTCACCACTCTGCCTGAAATGCAACATAAATCATTATGGAGAAAAGCATGCACCAGAAGGACGAGTGCCCCGCTTGCGGGGATTACGGACCAGGAATCTCCATCCAAGAAGCCCCCAGTGTGCTGTGAATAGTGATGAAGACTCTCTCTGTGAGCGAAGGAAGGGCAGAGTGTAGACACCTGTCAGCCCATCATGTCTCAGACGGTGTCAGAGAGGTTTTCGTGGGGAGGGCTGTGCCGAGTTCCATGAGGAAATGCAGGTGGTTTGTACGGGAACATGCTCAGTGGGACGTATGGAGGTACTCACTGCATTTCGGACACAGCCTCCTGTCCCTAAGCCCACTTCTGGGAACACCTGAGGATCTTTCAGTCACCGGTGCAGGGCTCTGTGAAGAGGTGTCTATGGCCATAAAAAGAGCAGTTCTAAGTTAACGAAAAACATCCTGTTTGGAAGGCGGCTGCTCTGATTGAGGGAGGTAAAAACAAATCAGTTCGCTGGGCCGAACTACATGTTGTTGTCTCTGTGTTCAGATCCATCAGCTTGGGAGCAGCTGATACAGTGGAAGTGGGCAGCTGCAGTGATGCAGAGGTGGGACTGGGGTAACTGTTGACATATGACCCTTGCACTCTCCGAGGACCATTCTATCTGCCAGTGAGAGACAGACCGCAGGTGGTTATGGGAGCGCTTCCCTGAGGGGAAGGCCCTGCACCAAGTTTGCAAGTTTGTTTGAAGGCAGTAACCAGAGAAGATGAGCCACAGTCTCCGGACCAGGCAGTGCCTACGAGATCAGAAGATACTGCACCCATTTGGACTGACAGGCTTCATCTACAGACCAAGCAACACACCTTCGTGCTCAGAGTAACAGTCGGACAGAGAGCGGGAATGGGCAATTGAAACACTGGTTGGTTCAAACACAAGGAGACAAAGGTATGAGGAGCTGGCTCGCACACACTCACAAGCATGTGCTCACCCTCAACACGAGGGGGGGTCGCCAAGGGAGATTCCCAGGTGGAGAGATGCTTGTTTCTGGGGGTGGGGGGGAGAGGAGCTGGGAGGATGCTGGGGTGACTGTACAGCTCTCCCTCATATCACCTCATCTTTCTTTTCTCCTACCTGATACTGTGGTCCTGGGACCAGGACTGTGACTGCAAGAAATTCTTAAGCGAGAAACTGTAACTGTAGGTTTAAACTTTTCGGTGAGAATTCCTAGGGGCCTGATGGCGTGGACTGTGCCTTCGCCCCACCTGGCAGATGGGAGTGGCAGTGAGTGCAGCTGTCCAGCCGGGTGGTGGAGACAGCCCGCTGTTTCTGGACCTGCGCAGCCCTACCCTACATGAACGGCAGTGGGCTGGAGGGAGGGCGTGCGTTAGACTAGCATCCCCGCAGGCGATCAGGATCGGCACAGGGGCTGAACTCCGTGTCCCTCTGGAAGGGGAAAAAGTTTGGGTAAAAGTCAATGATAAATGGGGAGAAGCAGAAATGATGGCTGAGGGTAAAGGAATGAATACAATGGGTCATGCAACAAGAGACACCCAACATCACATTGGTGCCTCTAGAGATGATACTGTCTCTTGACTCAATGATACTGGGTGCTAGAAAGGGTGAAGCCATGTGTTGCCAAGACCACTCCTGCTTTTGGGACCTGACATATAGAAAGAGAGCCTGTGCACCTGAGTGGCATGGGTCTGGGAGATTGGGTCGCATGAAACGGTGATGAACTGTAGTTCATCAATGTTAATGACTGAGTGGCACTCTAAGAATGTGCATCTCTCTTTCTATAAAAAAATTATTTTCTTTTTATTGGTTTTAGAGAGAGAGAAGGGAAAGGGAGAGACAGAAACACCGATGAGAGAGAACATCGATTGGCCGCCTCCTGCATGCCCCCTACTGGGGATCAGGCCCACAACCTGGGCATGTGCCCTGACCAGGAATCAAACCAGCGACCTCTTGGTGTATTGGTCGAGGCTCAACCACTGAACCACACCAGCCCGGCAAAGAATGTGCATCTCTTGATTCTTACTTTCCAGGTTACATGTACAACTGTACTGTAATATGGTGTAACACTGCCCTTGTTGTTAATATCCAATTACCATATGTAAATGAGTTACATGATGATACTCGTATCAGTGATCAAATGTTTTGGGAGATTGTGTTAAAGTCTCCTCAGGATGTAATACTGATGGAAAATGACTAGCCTAATGAGGAATTGGACTTAGCTGGCCATCTGCTGTGGACCGCAGGCTGACGCTCTAACCGCTGAGCAAAACGGGCCAGGGCTTTTTTTTTTAATCCTCACCCAAGGACATTTTTCCATTTTTGTTCAGATAGAGCGGGAGGGAGAGAGAGGAAGAGAGAGAGAGAGAAACATCGATGTGAAGGGACACATCGAGTGGCTGCCACCCGCACGACCAACCAGGGCCGGGGACAAACTGCAACCGAGGTACGTGCCCTTAGCGGGAACCGAACCTGGGTCTCTCTGGACCGCAGGCCGACGCTCCAACCGCTGAGCCAAACCGACCAGGGCGGCCATCTGCTAATGTCTGTACTGTTAAATTAATGAAACAAGGAGGCCACTAGATTGTGATGACTCTAATATCATGGTTGCCTAAATAAGCAAACCAAATCTAAGCCTGTAATTGGCTCAAGGTTATAAAACTGAAACCTAAGGACCATCAATCACCAACAGACAACTAGGATGAAGCTATAGCCAATCAATAATTTCCTTAATTTGCTTCTGCCTTTTCTCTACAACAGTCTCTTTCCAAGCACCTGTCAGGGGAACATTCCTAAGCACTCCGGTTTGGTGTTTCCCAATGCAAATAGTTTCTTCTCAAATAAACTTTAAAGTTTTTGGTATGCTTCAATTTATCTCTTAACAATACTAAATAGTTCTGCAAAATAGTTGTGCGCTAGGTATAGTATAAATGGCAGTTAATCAAGGGGAATCAAACGGGGACAAAAACGTGAAAATGTATGTAGTAGCTTTACAGGATGGACTATCTATCCCTTTCGCTCTCTTCTTACCCCACACTGGCTCCTCCAAATGTTAGGCATACTTCTGGTCCTATGTCCGTATCTGTTAAGTAAATTTTATATGAAGTATATATACTCAGTGATCCTTCTGCTGGAAGAGAGCCTTGGCAGGGGTCCAGGAGGTGGCCTGTGGAAATAAAGGGTTAGGCTTGGCCACAGCAAGGTTTGGCCCTCTGCCCAGGGCCCCTGGGGATAATCTTAAAACCCTTGGACTGTCTTGCCTAAGACTGTACTTGTTTACTTGGGGGTTTAGAGTCAGGCTACACAATGTATGCTAACAATATGATTACGGTGAGTCTACCTGGTCTTAGCTGGACCTCTGGTGGGGCTGGAGAGTAAGGTCAGCCAAGAGAACAGTGGGCCATGTCTATGTGACCAACCCTCAACAAAAACACCTGAAATCAAGGCTTGGGTGAGCTTCCCTGGTTGGCAGTACTCTGTGTACATTGTCACACAAGGTTGTGTCTGCAGGATTCCACTGGGACAGGACAGCTGGGAGCCCCATGCCTGGTCTTTTCTGATGAGTGTCCCCACTGTAGATTTGAATCCCTCTCTATTTCCTCTAATCCACTCTAATTTTGAGTATAACAGCTTTCCTGAGTTCTGAGTCCTTGTAGTGATTCTTGAACCTGAGGGTGGTCTTGAGGACCTCCTGAACCTATAAAAACCAAGTGGTAGCCCTGGCCGGTTTGGCTCAGCGGTTAGAGCGTCCGCCCGCGGTCCGGAGAGGCCCGGGTTCGGTTCCCGCTAAGGGCATGTACCTCGGTTGCAGTTTGTCCCCGGCCTTGGTTGGTCGTGCGGGTGGCAGCCACTCGATGTGTCCGTTTCACATCGATGTTTCCCTCTCTCTCTCTTCCTCTCTCTCCCTCCCACTCTGTCTGTACAAAAAATGGAAAAATGTCCTCGGATGAGGATTTAAAAAAAACAAAAAACCAAGTGGTATTTATCTCAGATATGTACCTGGAAACTAATGAATGTAACACACTATATCAGTCGAGTAAAAAGGAAAGCCCATGTGATCAGATGCAGAAGATTTCAGGGGCCTGATGAGCTGGTGGTAATGAAGGCTCCACTACCTGAGTAAGGTCACTCAGACGGAGGGGGAGGGAGAGGGAAAGGTACGGCATGGGATCCTCGGGGAACTCCGACCTGTGAGGGGCCTGGGCAATGACGGCCTCTCTGAGGAGACTTCTGAAGAAAGACCTGCGGGGGGAGAAAGCGGCAGCTGTGCAGAGACCCGCTGGACAGAGCACCGGTGAGCACTGGACAAGTGTGCACCGAGTCCTGAGGCTGAAGGGCACCTGTCCTGGCGGACACAAGGAGGCGGTGTAGCTCAGTAGGGAGCGGGAGCAGGGGCCTGGAGGTGAGATCAGAAGTAGGCAGGACCAGGTCTTGCCAGAAACAGGCCAGCAAGGGCTCATCACACTCACCGTGGGGTTTCATGAGAGGCAGGAGCTCCGTGCAGACATCTCGGGTGCCAAAAAAGTTTGTTTTCATCGTCACTTCTGCTTGAATGTGAAACGGTGTGGGATCATTCACTTTCAGGAGAGGAGGGAAAAGAAATAGGCATGTGGTAAAATTCCATAGAATGATATAAGATAGGAACTTTGTGTTCAATTGGCTCCTAGGAATAGCACTGTGCAATGACCATTATCTTGTTCCAAGATGTTCTATGGTGTTTAAGAGGGTACCATTCCAGCCCTGGCCGGTTTGGCTCAGCGGTTAGAGCGACGGCCTGCGGTCCAGAGACCCGGGTTCGGTTCCTGCTAAGGGCACATACCTCGGTTGCAGTTTGTCCCTGGCCCTGGTTGGGTTGTGTGGGTGGCAGCCACTCGATGTGTCCCTTTCATGTTGATGTTTCTCTCTCTCTCCCTCCCACTCTATCTGAACAAAATATGGAAAAAAAAAAAAATGTCCTCGAGTGAGGATAAAAAAAAAAAAAAAAAAAAGATGGCACCATTCCAGGTGGCTGGGTGAAGGGTGCATAATGGGATCTCTGTGAACCGGTTTGTGCAATTTTCTTGTTTGTGTAAAAATCCATTAAAAATTCACCCAACTACCTTAAAGGCTAACCCGGGAGAAGCTGTGACAGCCTAGAACAGACTCCCAGGCACCTGTGCCACGGAAACACAAAGGCCCTTTGGCCAGAAAACATTCCAGCTTCTCTTGTACTTTGATCTATGGGCACCCGTGTCCCCTACCTCCCCTACTTCCCGAGGGAGTGGTTCTGCACCCCCTATGTGCGAGGAGCCCCACCTTATTACACCTTAGAGATTCTCCCACCGGTTCAGCCCGCCCTGGCTGGAGGTGCTCGAGGGTGAGCTCCCCCACCCCGAGGCCACCCACCCTTTACCTTTGAAGGCCATGCCCGCGTTGTTGACCAGCACGTCCAAGCCCCCGTACTCCTTGCGCAGGAAGTCGCGCAGGGCGCGGATGCTCTGCAGGCTTTCGATGTCCAGCTGATGGAAGCGCGGGCTCAGGCCCTCGGCCTGCAGCTGCTGCACCGCCTGCCGGCCCCGCGCCTCGTCCCGCGCCGTGAGGATCACGTCCCCAGAGAACTGGCGGCACAGGTCCCTAGTGATGGCGAAGCCGATGCCCTTGTTGGCCCCGGTCACCAGCGCCACACGGGTGCAGGACATGGCTGGGCAGGGGGCCCGTGAACCACTTGCGCTGAGAGCGGACCGGGCTGTGGACGGCAAACCGCGCGCGGGCCGACAGCTCCCGCGAGGCTCTGAGCGTCTGCGCGCGGCTGGAGCGTGCCCCGTGCGCACAGGCTGGACGGGAGCCCAGGGCCGCCTTGTGGAGCGCGCAGGCGCAGGCCCCGCCCCGCCCCGCCCCCAGGGCGTGGACCGCCCCCCCCCCGCCTCCCAGGGGTGCTGAAAAATACAAATAAGCGTGACTTAGCAGGTTTATTGTTCTGTCAGCGGAAAGTTATTCCTGTTGGTCGTGTGACTACATTTAAACGGAACACTTACCCTTTGTTCTCCAAAGGTTTTTCCTCTACTGTATTCCCCTAACCGGGCAACACAGTTGCGCTCCGAGAAATGGAACATTTGTAAAGAATCCAGCCCCCTTCCCGCCCCCCTTCCGTGCTTTAAAAAATGCAGCTCGAAGACTAGAAAAAAAAAAAAAAAAGACTAAAGTCTTTGAAACTGGACTTGTGGAATAAGCTGGGAGAACCTGACAAGGGCTCACGTGTTGATTTGTCCCCTAAGTGTGTGAAAGCAAAGTCCTGGCTTATCCTGGGCTGGTTTTCATAACAGTGGGCAATGTTGACGAAATCGTCACAGGGTGACCACTCCCTAGGCCAGTGATTTTCAACCTCTGTGCCATGGCACAGGGGTATGCTGCAAGGATTTTTAAAACATGCGATACCTGATTATTTAGTCAGGGGCACTGACCTCTTTTCCTTGATTGTCAAAAAACAGAAACAAAAAACCACAACAGCCAACACAATAGTCATCCTATGTGAATCAAAATTATATCTAATTTTTTTTGTTAGATCAACAAATAATATATCTTATGGTGAGTCACAGAATTTTAGTAATTAGTTTATGTGCCCTGAGATGAAAAAGGTTGAAAATCACTGCCCAAGATACTTGCAAGGTCGTCAAGTTACCTGTATCCAGATCCTTTGGTGCCAGGTGCCAGGTGCCAGGTGACTTTGCAGCCCTTTCTCACACTCAGAATAACTCATCAGGATGCATCTTATTATCTCCAATTTATTTTATTTTAAATATTTTTCTTTATTAATTTTAGAGAAAGAGGAAGGGAGGGGGAGAGAGAGAGAGAAACATCAATGAGAGAGAACGTTTGACTGCCTCCAGCATGGCCCCCGCTGAGGATCGGGCCCACAACCTGGGCACGTGCCCTAACTGGGAATCAAACCCGTGATCTCTTGGTACATGGGTCCACGCTCAACCACTGAGCTAACACTGGCTGGGCTTATTATCCCCATTTTAAAGTGAGGAAGTGGATCCTCAAAAAGTTCACAAATTAGTTGTGGTGGGAAATGAATGTTCTTCCTTACTATTTAGTACTTACAACAGAGGAAATGGGACTATAAAGTCAGGTTTCATTTCTGTGCTGTCCCTTATTGGAGCCACTAGCCACAAGTGGCCATCTAAGTGCAATGTTGATCAAAATAGTACAATTTAAAAGTCAGTTCCTCTGTTGCACTAGCCACATTTCAAGGGCTCAAGAGTCACGTGTGTTAGTGGCCCTGTACTGGACGGTGCAGATATATATTTCAATTGGGGCAGAAAGCTCTGAAGAAAAGCATGCTTTAGGCAGAATCCAATTATGTTGCAATTTCAAGGTAGGTGTGGCAAAAAACCAAAACTAATCATCAGGAAAAGAGCTTTGCTTTATTTTATTAAAACTTGGGTGATAATTGTAGGTTCACATGTAGTAGTAACAAATAATGCAGAGATTCCCTATACTTCACCCAGTTTTCCTCAATGGTAACATTTTGCAAAACTATACTACAGGTCACTCGGTTGGTTAGGGCCCTGTCCTCATAGCCAGGGCACATATAAGAATCAACCAATGCCCTGGCCAGTTTGGCTCAGCGGTTGAGCGTCAGCCTGCGGACCAGAGAGTCCTGGGTTCAGTTCCCGCTAGGGGCACGTAACACCAAAAAAAAAAAGAAAAGAAAGAATCAACCAATGGCCCTGGTCGGTTTGGCTCAGCAGTTGGTGCACTGGCCTGAGGTCCAGAGAGACCCAGGTTCGGTTCCCGCTAAGGGTACGTACGTACCTCTGTTGTAGTTTGTCCCCGGCCACAGTTGGAGTCATGTGGGAGGCGGCCACTCGATGTGTCCCTTTCATGTGGATATTTCTCTCTCTCTCTCTTCCTCTCTCTCCCTCCTACTCTACCTGAACAAAAATGGAAAAAATGTCCTCGGGTGAGGATTAAAGAAAAGAGAATCAACCAATGAATGCATAAATAAGTGGAACAACAAATCGATGCCCCCCAAGTCAATAAATAAAAAATTTAAAAACCTGTAGTACAATATCACAATCAGAATGTTGACATCCAAACAATCCATTCACCAATCATATTCAAATTTCCTGTTTTACTTGTACTTGTGTTTGTGTGTGTATTTGGAGCTATACAAATTTATCGTGTGCAGGTTTGTATATCCACTACTATTGTCAAGACATAAAACATTTCCATCAGCACAAGAATCTCTCCTGTTGCTTTTTTATAACCAAACATACTATCTCTTGCCCACCACTCCCAACCCTATTTCCTGGCAACCACTAATCTGTTCTACATTTCTAAAATTTTACTGTTTCTCAAGGCTGGTGAGGCTCAGTGGATTGAGCATCATCCCATGGACTGAGTGGTTCAATTACAGGTCAGGGCATGTGCCCCAGTTTCTGGCTCGATCCGCAGTGGGGGGCGTGCCGGAGGCAGCTGATTGATGTTTCTCTCTCACATCAATGTTTCTATCTCTCTAAAAAAATCAATAAAAACATATTAAAAAAAAACTTTACTGTTTCAGAATGTCACATAGATGAGTCATACAGTATATAGCCTTTTAGGGTTTTAATTTTTATTTATTTTTTAAATATGTTTTAAAATTTTTTTCTTTATTGATTTTAGAGAGAGAGGAAGGGCGAGGGAGCGAGAGATTGAAACATTGATTAGCGAGACCATCGATTGGCCGCCTCCTGCATGCCCCCCACTGGGGATTTGGCCCACAACTTGGGCAGGTGTCCTGACCAGGAATGGAACTGGTGACCTCTTGGTGCATGGGTCGACGCTCAACCACTGAGCCACACTGGCTGGGCTTTTAGTATGTTTTATTGATATTTTAGAGAGAAAGGAAGGGAGAGAAAGATAGAAACATTGATGTGAGAGATAAACTGCCTCCTGCATGCCCCCTACAGGGGATCCGGCCAGAAACCGAGCACGTGCCCTGACCGGGAACGGGACTGGGAATGGAACCAGGACCCCTCAGTCCATGGGACTACGCTTAATCCACTGAGCCATACCGGCCTGGCAGGGTTTTTATTTTCACTTAGTGTAATTTAAGAGCTTTGCTTTGGATTTCCTCCCTTATCCAAGTATATGCTTGGTCTGTCATTTGTTGGACTACTTTCACACCACTAGTTACTTTCTTCTATAGCTGGGGTGAACCAGTGTTAGAAGGACAGCACACGGTGAAGGGCCTGCTGTTTCAAAAGACATATTCTAGCCCTGGCTGGTTTGGCTCAGCGGTTGGAGCGTCGGCCTGCGGTCCAGAGAGACCCGGGCTCGGTTCCCGATAAGGGCACGTACCTCGGTTGCAGTTTGTCCCCGGCCCTGGTTGGGTTCTGTGGGTGGCAACCACTCAATGTGTCCCTTTCACGTCGATGTTTCTCTCTCTCTCTCCCTCCGACTCTATCTGAACAAAAATGGAAAAATGTCCTTAGGTGAGGATTAAAAAACAAAACAAAAGGCGTATTCTATGAGTGCCACGAATCAAGATCTTCAGCCTGATTTATTTATCATGTTATTAGTGGTAGCAACACAAAAATTGACAGGTCAGGAGGGCAGGATGCTCCAGAAAATACAATATATAAAATATCACACAGTAATAAGAATTCAGCATATGATGTAAGTGGCATTAACAATTAATGGGGGAAAGGAAGAACTATTCCAATAATGATAATAGGGAAAGGGAGTAATAATTAGAAAGAAAAGTGATATTCGCAATATACCCCAATTAATTTCGAGAGAAAAAAATGCTTTCTCACTTTCTAAATTACAGTGATACCTCGGTTCTCGAACGCCTTGACTTTCGACCAAATCGGTATTCGACCAGGAGATTCGAGAAACTTTTGTCTTGGAATCCGAACAAATATTTGGAACTCGAACTTCCGAGATGAGCCGAGTTGAGCCGAATGGCGTTCATTCGGCCCCGCGCGCCTTGCTCGCATCATCAGTGTGAGTGCAGAGAGAGAGTCACGCTTTGTGGAGAGAGTCACGCTTTACACTGAATTTAACCCTTAGACACACTGTACACTTTTATTTCTTGTTGAGACTTATGTTTTTCTACATATTATATACAAATTAGGCCAGTAAATAGGCATTTTCTGGGGCTTGGAACGAATTAATTCAGTTTCCATTATTTCCTATTGGGTTTCATTGCTTCGGTTCTCGAACAATTTGGTTCTCGACCGTCCTCCTGGAACGAATTATGTTCGAGAACCGAGGTATCACTGTATTGTTTTATAAAACCATAAAACAAGTATAAGAAAACTTAATTAAAATGTATATTTTGTTTCATGTGGGAAAATTGTTAGCATGGGAACAGGAAGAAACACAAAAGTACTGACAGATCTATGGGGACCATTTTGAAGATTTATTTTGAAAAGCATGCTCATTTAAAGCCAGTGAATTAAGCTCTACTTGGCTGATTTTATATCTTTTTTCCTGTTGAATCTGGGTCTGAATCCTGGGGCTGTGTTTGACACCCTCCCACTCCCCACACCTAACACTTTGCCTGGGTTCTGAACAACTTTCAAAATACAACAAGAGAGAAAAAGTGGAGGCCTCAGATCTCTGTTATTACTGCTAATGGCTAATTTAGAAGATGATCCTTAAGCTGTGAGATTCAAGTCTGAGATCATCCTGGTTGATGTATGGAGAAAGAATTTTATCACATCACTTCTATTAACCTATGGAATAAACTCTCATCTTTATTATCCACTGGCTCGAGGCAGTTATTTCACTTGTCCTAAAGTACACAGTTCCA